GGCGAGCACAGTTGTTTGCTCTCGAGTAGTGGCCACTCATACATGGGCTGAGGGGAAATGCCATTTCATAGACCGCTTTGTGCACCAACATCCTAAATACCATGGAAGAAGCTAAGACAGCCCACGGCCTGGCAAAGGAGAGCTTGCACAGAATGCAAAGGCAAATCCAGTTTCACTTATGTGGTGTGATTTTAATTGGAATGTTAGGACCCGGGTTAAATTACTTGAGGGTCAGCTAAGAAGGTCATTGCAATAAGGGAAGATAAGATCTCCACTATTTGACTTCAGGTAATTTAGTATAAACGTTAACTCAGCAAGATGGGGGCATGGTGGGGGGGGGGGTGGGGGGAAGAACCCAAAGCCTGCAAGCAGATGTCAGCATTGGGAGAGGTGAATTTTATGCCATTGGCTGGTACTTGTTGCGTACTCCCACTGCAGATGCAGAGATATGTGGCCTTCTGGGAGGAAGAGCCTGAATAGAAGGGACAATTTCTTTTATGTGCAAATACAGAGGCAAAGACGGGAAGAAATGCAGACATCCAAAATATTCTGCATGTTTATAGAGGGCAAGAGGAAACAAAGGTTACCACCCACCTCCCTGACAATGAAATACAGGAGCCTGGAAAGCTGAAGCAAATGAGAAGCGCCCCTAACCGCTCCACTAGAAATGACTGCTGTCACGGCTCTGAGTCTTTCAAAGGCAGATTTTTGTACAAATACCTAAACTTGGGGCTGAAGCGATAGCACAGCCGGTAGGGCGTTTGTCTTGCACGCAGCCAACACGGTTTCGATCTCCAGCATCCCATAGGGTCCCTCGAGCACCGCCAGGAGTAATTCCTGAGTGCATGAGCCAGGAGGAACCCCTGTGCATGGCTGGGTGTGACCCAAAAAGCAAAAAAAAAAAAAAATCCTAAACAGACATACTGAGTTCTCCCTCCACAGAAAAGGGAACTGTAAATACATACTGTTATGTCCTCTTTTTTCTTAAGCATATCATGAAATCAATTTATTCTTTACGATACTATTATTCTTCAGTATCAGATTTTAAAAGTCCATCTTCTGCAAAGGACATAGGAGTTTGCCTTATCCCCCACTCTTGCAAACAGGCCTATCATGAACACACTTAGACCAAATCTTCTTTCCTTAGCCAAAGTTCGTACTCCAACGATGCTGGTTCTGCAGGATCCATCTCTGAGTCTCTCCCAGAGTGGCAACTGTTGGGGACAGACAAAGCCACCAGGAACCGATTCCATTTAGCTGTACTCTGTGGGGGATGGGACAGCTCCCAGATGCCTCTCATATTCCTTCCCCTTGAGGGTTTGGTTTGGTTTGGGGCCACACCTACGCCTACATGCTCTACGCCTACTTCTGACCTTTGCTGAAGGTGGGGTGGGAGGTGTTCAGGGAGCAACTGGTTTCAGGGTTTGAACTCAGGCCTCCTGCGTGCAAAGCATGCGTACCAGTCCTTGGGGTCATCTCCCTAGCCCCTTGAGTAGGTTTTTTTTGGTGGGTGGGGGCTTAAAGGGGAGGCATCAAGTGGTGCTCAGGGATCACTCCTGCTGGGACTTGGGGGACCCTGTGAGGAACCATGCACTGCACCGTGTCAGAGCACATTAACAAATTAACCTATCCCTGGGTCGACTTCTCAGGGACTAGAGCAGAGAGGGTAGAAGATGGGGCTTGGTGAAAGCTCAAGATTTCCTTGAGAAGGGAATATGGTGCCGCCAACAGGTCAGCCTGTACCCGTGGGGTGAGTGCATCAGCAGCCTGATGGTGCCTTCAGGCTTCCTGACACCCCAAAATTGCCGCTGTGTCTTTGGCCAGACCCCAACAACTTGGGACCAAGTTTACCAAGAAATTAATCGGCCAAATTTAGGTATGTGGGAGCCACGCCCACAAACCACCTCCGGCTCAGCTATACAACCTCATTTATTGGCCTTATTTTAGAGACCCATAGATAAATCTCAAAAGAGATCCAACGCCACAATTGATCTTGAACCCGCACTTGGCTGAACAGACTGGGGTAAATTGGAGGGGGAGGGTTGGCCTGGTGGCCTAGCAGATTCCTCAGTAGCCACTTGCTTCCACAATCCCAAATCGCTGCCATATCCCTGGCCTAACTCCACTGTCTTAGGACAGACCTCACCAAGATATAATCTGCTGAAAATTCTGGTATGCGGGTTTTGTGACTGAAATCTCCAGGCTTCTCGAGGTCAGAATGGGCTACCTCCCATATATATATGGCACATATATATGGGAGGTATATATATATATGTGTGTGTGTGTGTGTATATATGTATATATATATATGTATATATATACCGCACCACAGTCCTCAGGCCAGGTTAGTCTTCCTAGCCCCAGCAGCAGGGTCATAGTCTCGTTGTTACTTACTTTTGGAGCATGACAGCATTTGTCCATGATCATGCCCTCAACTTATAGTTGAGTATCGTGGTGCTTTGGCCTGGCCAATTTTGATGCCAGGGTAGCTCACAGCTTGTCCTAGTCCATTCAGTCCCTCGTTGGGACTCTGCTTTTGGGGTGCTAGGAACTAAGGGTAACTGAGTCAAGAAAGCACATGCCCAGGAGTAAATATTATTCAGAGTCAATCAACTCCCAAGTTACAAAGCATAATATTAACTGTGTTCCTGTGTCCATAAAGAAAGGACATTGCTTTAGGGTAAACTATGCAAAAGACATAACCTACAAGTTCAGTCTCCTTAGAAGGATCTGCTCTTACAAGCCAACAGAATCTGATTAGGGAGAAAAGGTGATTAGCCGATTGGGGAGGAGAGCATAGAGAAGAGTTTACAGATAAATACAGAGGAATGGGAGTGACTGGGGAGCACTGTGATGGGTGTAACCAATAAACCTAAGCTCCCTGTGGCAATGTTATCCTACACTCCCTGTACTTCCAGAAGCCTCGGCAGTCACATCCACACCCCAGAGGCCACCCAGTTGAAAAGCTACTCCAGCTTTACTGTCCTGGTAAAAATACCAAATGCCCTGAACAAACACCATGACCTCTTGGCACCTGTACTGCAAACCATAATGCATAAAAGAAAAAAGAGAGAGCAAGAAAGAAAGTGCCTCCCATAGAGGGAGGCTGGGGGTAGGGGGTGGGGAGTTGGGGGACACTGGTGATGGGAAATGTACACTGGTGGAGGGATGGGTGATAGATCATTGTATGACTGAAACTCAATTATGAAAGCTTTGTAATGGTCTATCTCACAGATATCAAATTAAATAAAAATTTTTAAAAGAGTAATGTGGAGTTCATGCCCAATTCAATCAGTTTAATCAATGGCTGAATAAATAGCAGTACTCCTACTTTATATTAAAAAAATTTTTCCTTGAGACACATTGGTGGATACTCCTGCCACTGGTGATGTACAATTGGAACTCTATGCCTGAAACTACGAATGGTATTGTGCATCACTATGCCTCCATAAACACAGGAAAGAGGAAAAATGAGCTGCGGGCTTACCTAGCGCTTCTTTCTCTGAAAGAAATGAAAGTGAGAGGCAGACCACTTTCTAACCTGTGTCTTCCATATATCTCAGTTCAAGAAGCAGAGGATGACATAGGGTCATTTTGTAGGTACTTTTGAACCCTTTTACCTGGTCCTTTACTGGATCTGGTATAAAGGGGCATCCGGTGCATGGATTTAAATGTCTGCCAGAAAGGCCAATATCTTTGATCACTTGTGAACCCCCAGACTCTTTCCTAGTTGATGCTCAAACAGCTTTGGGATAAGCCTGGAGGAGGCCAGGACTGCAGTTAAAGTGTGGTTCTTACATCAGGCCCTCCCTTAAGATGCTGAGAAAAAAAAAATCCCGGCAAACGTTGTGTTTGCAGACCTGGTTTCCTGAAACCTCACTCTGCTTAAATTTTCCAAGAGTCTGTGCATTGCTTTTGGGGTTCACTGTATTGCCAGTCAGTTGTGAGGGGTAACGGACATGGCATCAATGCACTGTTGTCAAAGGGCCCTTGCACCCAGGCAGCTCACTGAAACCGCCCCCAGAGTTTGGGGTCCCATCCAGTATTCTCAGTCAAGGGTCTGGGTCACATCTGGGGGGTCAGGGGTGGGGGGTGTTGCAAGCTTTCTCCAGGTGGGTCTCCAGAGCAAGCAGAGCCGGCCAGGTGCCTAAAGACCCGGGGGCGGCTATTAGGACCTGAGTGCCCTCCCAGCCTGTCTCCGAGGAGACCAAGACCCCCAAACCTGACTCCAGGCCAACTACTGGGGAAAAGGTGCAGCTGAGTTTGCACACCTGTCCACACACCTCCTCTAAGGGGGGTCAGTGGTCCCGGGGTCCCACCCACCTGGAACAGGGGCCCAGGAGCAGCCTGTGCACCCCTCAGTCGTGCCCTTTCACCCCTGCAGGGTGGCAGCCCGCGCTCCCCCACCCATAATACTCCACCCCTAGCTGTGCCCCTTCACCTTGCAGGTTGAAACCCAAGCACCCCTCACCCTCAGCCATGCCCCTTCACCCTGCAGGGTGCAACCTGCGAGCCCCGCTCCCCAGCCTCGCCCCTCCACCGTGGAGGGTGCAGCCTGAGCATCCCCAGCCTCACCCCTCCACCCCTTAGGGTGCAGCCCGTGCTCCCCCAGCCTCGCCCCTCCACCGTGGAGGGTGCAGCCCGTGCTCCCCCGGCCGTGCCTCTCCACTCCTTAGGGTGCAGCCCGTGCTCCCCCAGCCATGCCTCTCCACTCCTTAGGGTGCAGCCCGTGCTCCCCAGCCTCGCCCCTCCACCCTGCGCGGTGCAGCCCGTGGTCCCCCGGCCGTGCCCCTTCACCCCTGCACGGTGCAGCCTGCGCACCCCCAGCCTCGCCCCTCCAGCCCGCACGCCCCGAGCCGCCCAGCGCGGCCCCCCGCCCGGTCCTCTCGCGCGCCGCCTCCTGCTCTCGCGAGGACTCGGCGGCGCCGGAAGTGCCGGAGCGCGCGGCGGGGCGCGGGGCGGGCGCGGGGCTCTGCGCGCCGGGCGGGCTGCCGGGAGGAGGGGGCGCCCCGAGCCGCCCCGAGCCGCCCCGATGCTGCGCTTCCCGACCTGCTTCCCGTCCTTCCGGGTGGTGGGCGAGAAGCAGCTGCCGCAGGAGGTCATCTTCCTGGTCTGGTCGCCCAAGCGGGACCTCATCGCGCTGGCCAACACGGCGGGCGAGGTGAGTGCCGCGCGCGGCGGGGCGCTGGGCCGGGCACGCCGTCCGCGGGCAGCTCGCGCCGAGCACTGTGCCCGGAGCACCCCCCAAGCACCGCGCAGAGCCCCCCTGGGCGCGACCCAGGAACTTGTGTTGAGCGTTTATGACTCGGGCGGGCGCCCGCCGTTGTAGACACACCTTCCCGGGGGGCTGGGGGTGGGGGTGGGGGATCGGCGGGCCCCTTGCAAGCCGCGCGGGTCCGAGCGACCCACCAGGGTGCTCCCGAGCACGGCCGGCCTCGGCCCAGATCTCCCGCAGCCTCCTCGCACCCCAGAGTAACTTTGCAGCAGGACCCCTGGGGAGTGATGCTCGCAGCGTCCCGCCGGGCTGCTGGGTGCTGGGTGCTGGGTGCTGTGGTCCCGGCGCGTCCACTTCGCCGCCGTATCGAGCTCCCTCTGCGGGAGTGGGGACTGACCGCTGCTCGGGAAGGAGATTCCCGCCAGCCTGTGTGCATCGCCCGCCTGGTCCCTGGGCAGGTTGTCCGCGCAGGTGGTCGACCCGGCGGGAGTTTGGAAGCCGTGTCTGTCGTGCGCCCACACCTCCTTGACCAGGGTGGACCAGGGTGGGGCCGTCTTTCTGCGGGCCTTTCCCTGCTCTGCCAGGTGTCCTTGGTCTTCCTCGTGTCTTGGGGCGAATGCAGGCGGCCCAGCTATAGCAGGAGAGAACAGGAACGTCCTCGCGTTGACTGGGTGGCTCAGGCTTTTATTATTTACTTTTTAGGAGGGAAACTGGGCCCCCACTTGGCGATGCTCAGAGGGTCATCCTGGCTTGGCATTCAGGAATCACCCCTGGCTGGTGCTCAGGAGACCATATGGGATGCGGAGATGGAACCAGGATCGTCTGGGGGCAAGGCAAGGAAGCGCCCTATTGGCTGTACTATCTGTCACTCGGGCCACACAAGGCTTACTCCCAGCTCTGTGCTCAGTGGTCATTACTGGCTGGTGCTCAGGGGGACTCCTAGGCAGTGCGGGGGGATTATAGAGGGGCTGGCGGGTGCAGAGCATGAGCCCTGTTTACTGTCTTGTCTCTCTGGCTCCTGCTGGTGGGCTCAGGTGTCGCGGAGTGAGGGTGGCGAAGTAAATTTTGGAAATTTGGGGAGACCGTTGAAAAAAATTTGACAAAGCGGCGGGATCAGATAAACAGCGTAGGGCTGGAGTGATAGCACAGCAGGTAGGGCATTTGCCTTGTACGTGGCCGACCCGGGTTCGATTCCCAGCATCCCGTATGGTCCCCTGAACACTGCCAGGAGTAATTCCTGAGTGCAGATCCAGGAGGAACCCCTGTGCATCACCGGGTGTGACCCCAAAAATGCAAAAACAAAACAACAACAACAACAAAAAAACCCCAGAAAAACAGTGTAGCCAGTGAGGCCACCCGGGTCAGTGCTCTTGTGTGTTGAGGGATGCTAGTGAGCATGGTTGCATGGCTGCAGTCATGACCGGGTCTCACCTGTTTTGCAGGAGAGAGGCAAGGGGGTTGACATTGTGTGCAAAAGGGGTGATTCTGAACCCCGATGGAGGAGGGGAGGAAAGGCACGTGTGGGGTGAGAACAGCAAGCGCGTGGCAGTTATGGGTTGCGTGATCCTCTTAGGAATTTGGCGCAGAGAGGCAGGGGATGGCCAATCAGACGGCGGCGGCTTTGTCGTTGTGCTCCCTGAGGACTCCAGAAAGGACTGAGGAGAGGCTGAAGATCCCATCAGTGGACAGGGGTGGTGGAGCAGTTAAAGCCCCAGGTGCAGCTGTGGCACGCAAGAGAGCGGAGGGGAGCTGAGAGCTCACACCCTCCAGAGCGCTGGGACACCTCAGGTCTGCAGAAGGCCATGGATGAGAGGGGCAGTGGTGGCCCCATCTGCCTGCACGCAAGTCCCAGTTTACGGGCTCTGGGGAAGAACAGCTGACAGGAATAGTGGCCTGCGTCGTCTTTCAGTCCCCCTGCTGGTCCCGGCTGCTGCCACGGTGTCCTGGAGTACAGATTCCTTCTGCCATCTGGTTTCCTGTCCAACACCCTCCACGCTGGAAACTGATGGCTTGATGAAGATGCCTCGGCGGGAAGCACGTTTCAGATAGAGCAGAAGGTCCAGAGAGAGACAAGGGATCATACCGGAATGTGCGTTTCAAGGGCACTGGGAAGGCAGTGAGAGACCCAGAGAAGGGCCCGTTTGGGCCGAGCCGTAGAATAGTCCCCGGGAGTAAGGCAACGGAGATGGGGCCCAGAGTGAGCGAGCTGTGGGCCGTGGTCTGGGTGCCAAGGACGGTGGGGTACTTTGCACGGGCCTGTGCCTCTGAGGCCTCTTGGGAAATTTCAGTGGTTTTCTAGAGGGCGGTGGAGGGACAGTCGTCGTTTTGAAGCTTGGGGAGCTCCGGGGCAGAATCCCGACCCTCTTAAGTGGGAGTGTACCTCCATGGAAATGAAAATTGAGAGTGATTCAGTGACTTGTTCTCTATCCATGACTACGTTCTTTAATCCCAGGTTGTCTGAGTTGGAGTTCAGGGTTGTTCAGCCGTATTTCAGCTGCCTGCTAGTGCTGTCTGGGATCCTTTTTTTTTTTTTTTTAATTTACTTATTTTATTTAAATGCTGTGGTTTCCAACATTGTTCGGAATATAGCTATTTGGGGCATTCAGTTTCCCAGCTCCATTGTGGCCTTCCCTCCATTATTGTCCCCAGTTTCTTACCCAGCCCCTTAGCCTACCCCCGTGGCAGGCACTGGTTATGAAGGTCACCGAGTATTTACTGAGCTGTTTGTTACAGGTGGGCCTTCTGTGTTACCGTTTTTGCTTACTCAGCTTGCCTGGCATCTGGGCTCCTTTCCCATCTAATTCACTGTGCCCCTTCTGAGCGGCCACGGAGGTGCACTTGCGGCCACGCGCTCCAGAAGCTCCAGGATCTGTAGAACTGGGACGATTCTTGGCCCACCCTCATCCCACGGAGGCCCCAGAGTTTGCAGCCTGGAGACCCTTATGTGCGCCTTATCGGCTTGGCTTGGTGTCTCCTGTTGAGATGATTCTCGCTGTTCGCGTGGCAGGCTGTGGGTCGTGAGTGTGGCTGTGAGTGCTTTCCACAGACCAGGCTGCCTGCCCCACTCTGAGGAGACCCCAAAGACGGTGTGCCTGGGAGTTCTATTGGCCTGGCCTCTCTTCTGGGCCTAGTTCTGAAGTAGCGTTGGGTCGATTGTATGACGGCAACTGTGGGGTGTGGATGCGGCTCCTGCGGCTTCAGCGGGGACTCTCAGCCCCCTCCCAGAGTTTCAGCCCGAAGACCCGTGTGCTTGTGGGTTTGATCGGTTTGGCGTCTCCCCTGAGACAGCTCGTGAGTCTGGAGCTAGGCCAATACTTGGCGTTCGCGTGCAGGGGCTGTGGAGCACGATGGGTGCGCCCCTTAGTTTGTCTTATTCCTGCTCAGCCGTCTTCTTTCTAAAAGGGAAGTTTCTTGTTGACATCTAAGGAAAAGGAAGATGGACAGAGTTGAGTGAAGCTGGAGGTTTGTTTTACCCCTTGCCTTGAAACTAACTTAAGATCACGGGGATGTTCTTGTCTTTGAGTTTGCTGGTAACTTGGGATGTTACTGGGAATGATTAATAAGGATCATCTTGTGGTAGTGTGTGGTGGGGAGAGCGCTGGGTTTATTGGTTTGTGTTAGCTTGGGAAACGGATTTTTAAATTTTCTGACATTTCGTCTGTTTTGTCCTAGGTTTTGCTTCATCGCCTTGCAAGTTTTCATAGAGTTTGGAGTTTTCCACCCAATGAAAATACAGGAAAGGAAGTAACCTGTTTGGCTTGGAGACCAGATGGCAAACGTAATAATATTATTAAAAGTGCCGTTTCTATTATTCAGAGTGTTCCAAAAATGAAAACTTATTTCCATAAAGAATGTGTTGTTGTTATACCTGAAAGAAATTTATAAATTGATAAAGTTTATTAATTGGCTATATAAGTCAGTTCCCTCCTCCATCAGGGTTCATAATCAGTCACTTCTGTTGCAGTGTCAACTTTTTTCTGCAAAACTAGTGAAAACCAGTGGTGACTACATCCACACAATGATGCTTCATTTATATGGAGCTGTTTTATCAATTTTATTAGTTAAAAATTTTTAAATTTTTATTTCTAGTATAAATTTAAATTTATACTAGAGTTTTGAATACCTAAGTATCACTGTCAACCCATTGTTCATCGATTTGCTCGAGCGGGCCCAGTAACGTCTCCATTGGAGACTTTGTTGTTACTGTGTTTGGCATATGGAATACGTCACGGGGAGCTTGCCAGGCTCTGCCGTGCGGGCGAGATACTCTCGGTAGCTTGCCAGGCTCTCCAAGAGGGGCGGAGGAATCAAACTTGGGTCGGCCATGTTGGCTGAAACGCCCTACCGCTTTGTGAAATTTATTCTTCAGAATGTGTGTGTGTTGGGGGGGGGGGGCTGGAGCGATAGCACAGTGGGTAGGGCATTTGCCTTGTATGCGACCAACCTGGGTTTGATTCCCAGCATCCCATATGGTCCCCCGAGCACTGCCAGGAGTAATTCCGGAGTACAGAGCCAGGAGTAACCCCGAGTATTGCTGGGTGTGACACCCCCCCAAAAAAAAAGTTTGTGCGTGTGTCTGTGTTGGGGGCGGTGCATGGCTTGGACCCCAGGACCACATGGTGCCAGGGATTGAATCCTGGCCTCCCACATGCAAAGTGCACTTTGAGTCCTTTGAACTTCCTGGGCCCACCTTCAAAACTCTGTAAAGGAGGCCGGAGCAGTAGTACAGCCGGTAGGGCACTTGCCTTGCAGTGGCCAACCTGGGTTTGGTCCCCAGCACCCCGAGTGGTCCCCCAGCCCTGCCAGGAGTGCTCCCTGGACGCAGAGCCAGGAATCAGCCCTGAGGCCACCAGCTGTGGTATCTTTCCCTCCTCCCATGTAAAATATTTCAAGTAATAAGAATTTTAAAATAGTGTGGTTGGACAGTGAAATCAGGACTTATTAGGGAAGGACCGTTTCAAGATCGCTGGAAGGTTTGGAGACGCGGAAGCCAGCGTCCTGGCAGCGGGCGGAGGTGCCCGTGCTGGAGGCCACATAGACCGTAGGCCTCCCTGGAGAGATTCTTGGCTCTAGTTGGGCAGGAAGACGTTAGCCACTCAAGTGGAGCAGCTGGACGTGGTCAATCAGACTTGCTTTATTTCCACTAAAGTCAGAATCTTCTGAGAGCAGAGCCTGTGGAATCGCTGTTTTACCTTCGGCATATCTGTCTGAGCAGTGTGCGTATCTCAATGAGGGGAGGCTCTGTTTTGACCCCTTTGCATGTTTTCTTTCTTTTTTTGTTAAGTTATTTTGTTTATTATTTGGTTTTGGGTCACACCTGGCTACGCTTAGGGCTTACTCCTGGCTCTGCACTCAGGAAATATTCCTTGTGGTGCTCAGTTGACCATATGGATGCCAGGGATTTAACCTGGGTTGACAGCGTGCAAGGCAAGCACCTTACCTGTTGTACTATCGCCCTGTCCCCTGCCCTCAGTTGCATTTTCTGCTGGGCAGAGGGCACCCCTTGCCCAGAGACCTTGATGCCTGTGACGTCGTGTATGATACATGAGGTTGAAGCACTGGAAAAAAGAACGTAAGTGCACGTGAAGGTCTTGTTGTAGTTTTTAAAATATCACAGGAAGAATTTTTAAGCCAAGTAGTTCCTGAGGTTACGGTGAATTTAAAACGGTAGGAATTGCAAGCCGTGCATCGCTCTTAGGTTTTCCCCCAGTTGAACCCTAATTCATTCTGGTTATTTTTCCCCTGTCTCATTTCAGTCTTGGCCTTTGCCCTCGCGGACACCAAGAAGATTGTCCTGTGTGATGTGGAGAAGCCCGAGAGCCTGCACTCCTTCTCTGTGGAGGCCCCCGTTTCCTGCATGCATTGGATGGAAGTGACGGTGGAGAGCAGGTAAGGAGGAAGTGACGTAGGATGCCCAGCCTATGCGCGTGCGTTGTATCTAACTTGCTTTGTTTTTTATTTCTTTGGGTTTTGGGGCCATGCCCTGTGACCCTCAGGGGTTACTCCTATCTCTGCACTCAGGAATCACTCCTGGCGGTGCTGGGGGACCATATGGGATGCTGGGGATCAAACCTGCGTCAGATGCATGTGAGGCAAACGCCCTCCCCGCTGTACTATCGCTCCAGTCCCTGCATTTAACTTTTGGTTTAAAGTTTATCAGGATAAAACTTTAAGTGCTTTATTAGATCATGTTTTCTTTTTAAAATTTCTTCCTTTTGTTTTTGGGCCATTTGCGGTGATGCTCAGGCCGACTCCTTCCTCTGCTCTCAGGGATCATTCCTGGCAGGCTTAGGGGACCAGATGGGATGCTGGGGACTGAACCCGTCTGGCTTGTGTGGAGGCAAGTTCCCTACCCACTTTATGGTGGCTTCGGCCTCTTCTAATAATATTTTTAAATGGAAGCAGTATAGGCTTGGATTTCCAAGTTTTTTTTGTCGGTGTTTCTTTATTTTTCAAGGGGTTGTTTTGAGCAATATTTTGTGGGGCCCACGTGGTAGCAGGGATCAAAATGCTGTTGGCTACAAGCAAGGCTTAACCCTGGTTACTATCCAGCCTGGCCATTTTTTTTTTGAAAGAGTGAGAGAGAGAGAGAGAGAGAGAGAGAGAGAGAGAGAGAGAGAGACCCTTAGACTCTTAGAAGACTCTTGGAAGGACCAGAGATACTCCAGTGGGTAAGAAGCCTTGCAGGTGCTGACCCAGGTTGGATCCCTGACACCCCATATGGTCCCCCTGTCCTCTCCAGGAGTGATGCCTGAGCACAGAGTCAGGAGTAAGCCCCGAGTACCACTGGGTATGGCCCCCAAACCAAAAAGAAAGAAAAAACATTCTTAGAGAATAAGAAGTGCTAGATTAAGAGGTTCTCTTTGGATGCTGAGCTTTTTCTGCGTTCTTTATTTCTTTGGGTTTTTGGAGCCACACCCTGTGATGCTCAGGGGATACTCCTGGCTCTGTGCTCAGGAATCACTTCTGAGTGATTGTTTCATGAACAGAATTTTTCCTAGGTATAAGTAGTCAAGACCATGTTTAATGTAAAGATGGAATAAGGTGGAGCCGCAAATGTGACTGCACGACGTATCGTACCTCGCAGCACTCATACACCAAGAGTAGCCACCACATTTGATGTGGTTCAAAGTAGAAGGCAACTCAGCTGAGAGGGAAATGCATTTATATATAAAAGCACACAAGGCTCAACCCTTAACAACATGTTAGTAATCTCTTATAGAAGGGCTTAATGGCCCCTGGGTGAAATACAACAATCTTCACATACTCTCCTCTAAGGGAAGTTTTTGGGAGCATTTTTGGTGATTTATCCATAACAGACAATACGAAATGAATTATTTCTGTTCTACTTTGGGGCAGGGGTTGGGGTTTGAGATGGAAACATCCAAAATATGGTGGTGAGAAGGTATAATGGTGGGATTAGTGTTCGAATATTAATTACTGTGAAGTGTCCTGTCCAAAACACTGTCTTCCATTGTTCATCGGTTTGCTCGAGCGGGCCCAGTAACGTCTCCAGTTTTGAGACTTGTTGTTACCGTGTTTGGCATATCGAATATGTCACGGGTAGCTTGCCAGGCTTTGCCGTGTGGGCGAGATACTCTCGGTAGCTTGCCGGGCTCTCTGAGAGGGGCGGAGGAGTCGAACCTGGCTCAGCTGGGCTGGCTGTGCGCAAGGCAAACACCCTATCACTGTGCTATCACTCCAGCCTGAACTACTTTATAAAAATAAAAGTAAAATTAAAAATAAAATGGAGGGTCCCAAACTTCTTTGGTTTACTGGCCCCTTTTCAGAAAAATTCTTTAATTTTCCCCCAACCCACCCTGGATCTTCCTTCTTTTTTTTTTTTTTTTTTTCCCTTTTTGGGTCACACCCAGTGTGGGATTACTCCTGGCTCTGCACTCGGGAATTCCTCCGGGTGGTGCTCAGGGGACCATATGGGATGCTGGGAATCCAACCCAGGTCGGCCGCGTGCAAGGCAAACGCCCTACCGGGTGTGCTATTCCTCCAGCCCCTGGGTCTTCCTTCTTTCAAGTTCCCTCCCAGTGGCAGCCAAGGCTACTGCTGCCCTCCCCGGCCAATGAACTTTCCAGCGCTGGGAAGGAGGTCGTGTCGCCCACTTGGGGAAATTGTGAATCAAAGGATCAGTGGGATTAGCTGTACTGCAGAAAATTTTCTTTTTTGAGGCAATGTGGTTATTTTCTTTCTAATTAAGTTTTAAATGAATATGTAGTCCTGAATGAATTCAAGTAAGGCCTTTCCCAAAGCGAGCTGCCTACAAAGAATTGGCTCACGGATCTCGTCTGGGTTTTAAAGTTCACTGTCAATAAAACCAGAGTGGTTGATCTGTCACCGGCTCATCGAGGGTTGCAAGTGGTCCTGGGATTTTCCAGACAGTTTGACGAGCATAGCAGCCCTGTTCTTTCAGGGCCATTGCCTGCCGAGTCTGTTCCTAATATGCTTCCTAGTAATAGTCTACAAGCGAGTCATGGACATTGCAGGGGTTCTCTGGGCACCTGCTTTGTGTTAAAGTGAGAAAAACGTTTGCCAAGTGTTTGCTACTGCTTGTTCATCCGGATTGATTGTTACTCAGAATCCAATCCAGGGCCCCGCAGGTGCAAGGCATGTGCTCTGCCACATCCTTCTCGTTCATTAATTCCCAGCCCTGTTGCAAGTAGAATGGAAAGAAGGGGCAAATGATCGCAAATGCCTGGTGTTTCCTCAGGTACCCAGAGAACCCAGAACGTATCCCACAATAATTCCAGTGTTCTCTGAAATCATTCTTGGAACTTGTATGTTTGGTCTGAAGTCTTAGATGAGAGTTAAGAAATCGTAAGTTCTCTGTGTCTGAATACTATTACATTATGAGTATGTAATACTATTACATATGAGTACATTTTATATGGGCTGGAGTGATAGCACAGCGGTGGGGCGTTTGCCTTGTGCGCAGCCAGCCTGGCCCAGCCGGGTTCAGCCTGGCCCAGCCGGGTTCAGCCTGGCCCAGCCGGGTTCAATTCCTCCGCCCCTCTCGGAGAGCCCGGCAAGCTACCGAGAGTATGTCGCCCGGGCGGCAAAGCCTAGCAAGCTACCCGTAACGTATTCAATATGCCAAACACAGTAACAAGTCTCACAATGGAGACGTTACTGGGCCTGCTCGAGCAAATCGATGATGAGATAATAGTTTATTAATATTTACTTCTCGAAATACAAATTGGGCTGGTTGATTTTTTTTTTTCAGGAATACTTTGTAAATGAATTTCCTATTTTTTTCTATTTGTGATTGTTATAGTGACTATTTTAAAATAGTAAAATATTTGTGTATCTTTTTACCTGATAATATATATAAGCTGAGCATCTTTTAAAAACTGGAGTGGACAGAGAAGTAAATATTTCACTTTTTTGTAATTCTTTTCCCTTTTTAGTGTTCTAACATCCTTTTATAATGCTGAAGACGAATCAAATCTTCTTTTACCCAAACTACCTACATTGCCAAAAAAGTAAGTATCATAATTTAATTTAATTTCATTGTAATTAGCCTTGTAGATTTTCTTGCAACTGATTTTTCCTTGAACACTGTGACAGTATTTTCATGTTTTATAGGCTATATTGTAAGTAATTTTTTTTTTGTTTTCTTCTAGTTACAGCAATACCTCAAAAATATTTAGGTAAGAGATATCAGATTTTTCAAATAAGAATTTTTTTTTTTTTGTATTTGAATGATAAAGCTAAAAGGTAACCTAATTTATTTTAATTTTTTTAGTGAAGAAAATTCTGATGAAATTATTAAGCTCTTGGGAGATGTCAGGTAAGGCCTGTAGATAAAATTTATACAAATCTGACTTGCTTTTTGTTGTCATCAATTGTGGGGGGCCACACCTGACAGTGCTTTTGGTGGGCACAGATCATTTCTCAGGTTTGGGTGCCCCAGGGCTAAGCCTGGGGGTGTGCGGTGCTGAGGATTAAATTCAAGACCTGGAGGGGCTAGAGTGATAGCACAGCAGGCAAGGCATTTGCCTTGCACGCGGCCAACCCAGATTCGATTCCCAGCATCCCATACGGTCCCCTGAGCACTGCCAGGAGTGATTCCTGAGTGCAGAGCCAGGAGTAAGCCCTGTGCAACGCCAGGTGTGATCCAAAAAGCAAAAAAGAAAAAAAATTTTTTTTTTTTTCATAAATTCAAGACCTGGAGCATGTAAGACATGGGCCCAGCCAGAGTCGAGTCTTATAATGTGCCTTTGCTAATGTTAGTAAGAAGTACAGGAGGGTAGATGGACTCGAGTTCCTACTTGATTTAAATTCAAGTTCTTGACACTCCTTTGTACAAAACTGCTGGCATTTTGTATTGGTCAAAAAAGGGCTGCTACCTAGTCTATAAGTACAGCGGTCAGGGCGACAGGTATGTGTTTCTTAGGCCAGAGGAAGTACATGGAATCCTTTGAAGGCCCCATGTTAGTTTCTGGTGTTGCATTCTCCTGCAGGGAGCATCAACCCGCGGGGTGTACGAGAGTAGAAAATCTCGATTGAAAATCTCTCGTCTCTTCTGTTGTTCTCACCTGGTTGTGTTATTTTTAATTAGGCTTAATATTTTGGTCCTTGGAGGAAGCTCTGGATTCATCGAGCTTTATGCCTATGGAATGTTTAAAATTGCTCGAGTCACAGGGGTAAGTTTTTCCTCACAAGTTTTTGTATCTTTCTTTTTTTCCTCTTAGACTAGATTCCTGGCAAGAGAATGAAAAGTTAGATTTTTCACTTGTAATTATTAGAATTATTTATTCTTGACTGTTACAGAGGATAGTTTTCATGTTCAGATACAATAGTATTGATAGAATGTGACATCGAGGGCTTTTAGTGAAATTAAGCAAATGCTTTTTTCTTAACAAAAAGATTTTTCTCCGTCAGCGATGTGCTTCAGCCCAGTGCTGAGTCAGCCATCTTTTCCGTAGTCCAGAGGGGCAGACAGTGCTGTGGATTGTGACGCTTCCTGCCTCTGCTGTGTCTGGGGGCCGGGGCCTGGGCCTGGTGTGTTGACTCCTAAGGGTGCTGAGTTTGTGCTTCCTGAGTTGTCAGCAGAGGCACCTTGGCACTGACCAGCGTGGGGGCTTGCCTGTTCTGCAGATTGTGGGCACCTGCCTGGCACTGTGTTTATCCAGTGATTTGAAGTCGCTGTCAGTGGTCACAGAGGTTGCTGCGGGCGCCGCTGCAGAGGTCTCCTACTTCCAGGTAAGAGCCAGGGCCCAAGAGTGGTGGCCAGGAAATACATCTTCTCAAGGTTGTTTAGGTTTTTATGGTCTATGGTACTGGGTTCTGAAGGTCTTTAAAACAAACCAAAGCAGAAGATGGACAGAGCTTTTCCGTATTCATCTGAAATCTTCGTGTAGTGATATTATTAGGTCCCTGACTCAATACTGTTTCATGACCAGAGTTTGTTTTGTTTTTGGGTCACACCTGGTAATGCTCAGGGGTTACTCCTGGCTCTGCATTCAGGAATCACTCCTGGTGGGCTTGGGGGACCATATGGGATGCCGGGGATCGAACCCAGGTCAGCTGCATGCAAGGCAAGCACCCTCCCTGCTGTACTATTGCTCCAGCCCCTTCATGACCAGAGTTTTGATGATCATATTACTTGGTTGCTGAGCACGTTTCTTCTTGTTTGTACTAAAGCATTTCCTTAGGATTCTGACCCTAATAACGAACAACTTCTAATTATTAGAAAAGTAAAGTGCCAAGCACTGGATGCTTTAGAATAATTCATTTGTGTCCTCCTAGCAATTGTAACGGTTAGGTACTTTGATGTGCCTGTTTAATGGATAAGTAAACGGCCTACAGAACTGGCCCTGAGTCCTCCATGATGCAGACCTGGAAGCTGCCTCTGGCCAGGGCGGCTCCGGAGTCCAGGCCAGCACGTTGCCTCTGTGCAGCTCGTGTAAGATGTCCCACGATGCCTGAGAAGCCCATTCTGTTGTGCTGACCGTATGGTTCTTTGTGGAACTGTTGGGCACCTCTAGTTAGATTATAGAGGTGACTTTCAGGAAGTTTTCCCAAGTTTTTCATCTCAGTGCATCTTCTTGAGCTAAGCTTTCGTGAACTTGAATAGAAGTAGAGCAAAGGAATGCAGGCTACCCATGTTACCAGGCTTCCCATGCCTGCCAGCATTCTTGGCTGGACACAGGACCTCAGGGGACGCTGGTTTACTGTAATGGTGGTTTGTGTTTGCTCTTAAGGGTCTGTGACTGTCGGGGGCGGGGAGGTAGTACAGGCCTTAATGTGCTTGCCCCAGTTCAATCTTTGGCATTGCAGGTGGTCCCCTGAGCACTGCCAGGAGTGACCCCAAAGCACAGAGCCTGGAGTAAACCCTGAACACAACTAGGTATGTCCCTCTAAAAAACCACCAACTGAAAAAACAACAGCGGCAGCAACAAAAAGACTCTGCAAAAATAGAATTTCCAGGACTGTATCTGTGACCAAAGTACAGTTTTTTTCATTTGTTAACAGTTTGTTTAATACAGCTTCATTGTGGTAAAAATTCACACATGCCATTATAACTTCTCAGGATATCTGTAAACATTCACTGAATTCTTCCTAATAGTGTTACGGCACATCATCTTGCGGGGGCGAGGGCGGTGGTATTTGGGCCACACCAGCAGTGCTCAGAGCTTGCTCCTGGATCTTGCCTCCGGGAGCCCTCCTGGAAGGGCTTGGGTGACCATATGTGGTGCCACATCAGCCACGTGCAAGGCTAGCACCTTGTGCTGTCTCTCCGAACACACACGGAATAGATTGCATAGACTGTAGCTATGTAGAGGGGAGTAATGACCAGAGAGGGTAGGGAATCCTCACAGTCACCCACCAGACTTGAAAGTTCTTTTGAGGGTTGGGGATAAGCGAAGGATCCGGCCTAGGGCCTCACACATAAAAGACAGTTGTTCCTTCACCAAGCTGTATTCTAGGCTGCCAGATTTGAAAATTCTTATCTTATGGTCTCCAGGTCTGCAAACCAGTAAACTTAATAGGGAACCAAATTCTAGATATCTTTTTAATATGTATTAACCCCAGACTCTCCTGAAGTATGGGATTTTCTTTTTCAGTTGGGGGGGACTGATACATCTTTAAAAAGAAGCAATTATGTGTGATTATGAATCACTTTTTAACTTTCATTTTACAGCTTGAAACCAATTTGTTGTATTCCTTTTTACCTGAAGTAACTCGGATGGCCAGAAAGTTTACTCATATTTCAGCTCTATTACAGGTATTTATTAATAGTTGTTTTGTTTACTGTGCATTTTGGGGTTTTTGTTTGTTCGGGGCCACACCCAGTGGTGCTCAGGCCTTACTCTTGGCTCTGCGCTCAGGGATCACTCCTGGCAGGCTTGCGGGGGCCATATGGGGTGCCAGAAATCTAACCTGAATCAGCATGTGCAAGGCAAACGCCCTCCCCGCTGTACTATTACTCTGGCCCCCAAGCTTATTGTAAGTTTTTGAGTGTTCCGTAAATTAAGGCTTTAATTTTTAGTTTCACAATACTATTTGTAGGACTGTTGTCTATTAATAATAGTCCATTAAAACAAGAAAAAGGTAATCGAAAATCTCTTCCCACCTGTCTCTTAGTCCCACCTTCAAAAGAAATGAAAAAAATACTACGGGTAGAAACCCCTGTCTACCCAGGCGTGGCCCAGAATGAAAGTGAGAGAAAAAAAGTAGTTTAAATCTTTTAACATATTTCTATAAATAGAGTAATGCTGAAAGTTTAAGTTTTACTGCAAATACAGTGTTTCAGAAAACAGTCCTTGAATACCTTGGCTTTGGTGTCTAATCAGGCCAGTCTCAATTAGCTTTCATTTCTTTCTCTTTTTTTTTTGCATTTTGGGTCACACACGGAGATGCTCAGGGGTTACTCCTGGCTCTGCACTCAGGAATTACTCAGGGATCACTCCTGGTGGTGCTTGGGGAACTGTATGGGATGCCGAGGATCGAACCTGGGATTTGATTCCTGGGTCCCCGTGGCCCGCTAAGCACCGTGGGTTACAGGCCCGGAGCACTGCTGGGGCCCTTAGGCTGAACTATGGGCCTCCAGGCCTCCTGAACCCCACTTGGGGGTCTTCCCCTGCACTGCAGAACATCTGGTTTGAAAATGGAAAAGCTGACCAGACGTCATTTTGACTGATTGGCCTCAGCTACTTAAACTCCTGGGGTTGCTTAGCTGAATGTGGGGGGTTGCAAAGAATTGGTTTAAAATGAATTCGTTGTCACTAAATTTGATTTACATTTCTCCTTGATCCTGTTTTAAAGTTTGAAATAATTCGAGGGGATTTGGAGGCTCTCGATGCTCTGGTGAGGGCTATTCCTGGCTCTGTGGTCAGGGATCGTTCCCAGTGGAATTTGGGGGACCATATCAGTACCAGGGATTGAACCAGGGTTGCTCAATTTTAAAAACCTAGGGTTGTGTAAAAAATTCTAAGGCAAAGGGGGTCACTGGTAGAAAAGTTTAAACCTTGGTTTAGTGTCCATGAAATATGCCCAGGTGTACAAAGCTGAGGACAAAGTTGAGGACCAGATAAAGACCCAAGAACGTCTCATAGTAAGGTTCAGAGACTCATCAGGCATTTTGTAGTTTAGCGATTACTCCGGGCATGCTGTGGTTCTGTGGCTTTCTCCTTTCCTTGGGCTCACCAGGACTTAAGCCTGGGTGTCTCTGAGACGGTCAGCAGCCCGCTGGTTGGCTAGCACACCGATAGGAACCTGTTTGCTCATCTTCCTGCTTCCCTCCTCTCGTGCACAGTATATAAATCTGTCACTCACGTGCATGTGCGAGGCCTGGGAAGAGATCCTGATGCAGATGGATTCGCGCCTCACCAAGTTTGTGCAGGTACCAAGCCGGCGTGCCCTTGGGGGGCCTGGCAGGGGCGCCTGGTGCCCAGCTTCCACCCCAGGCCCTTGGGGAAGAAGCAGAAGGCTTGGGTGGTGGTTCCCCACATTCCCACCGGGGAAGGGCTCTCTCCCTGCGGTGCTGCCAGGTGGGCACCAGACTGGAGGGAAGCCAGGCCTCGGGTCACTGCCTGGCCCTGCCCAGGGATGGTGTCTGGATAAGCTGCTGCTGGGAGGGTCAGAGGGCAGCCACGGCCCTGTCTGAGTCGGCGTCTGTCCCGTCTAGGAGAAGAGCACCACGACCTCCGTGCAGGATGAGTTCATGCACCTGCTCCTGTGGGGGAAGGCCAGGTAACACAGCCGTGCCTCTGCCCTCCTCCGTGGTGAGAACTGATCGTTTCAAACTTCCTGTTCAGTGAAGAGAATACTGGGGCATCAGCTCTAAAACAAACAAACAAAAAAATATGTATCTTCCAAAGCTTTTCTGTGTACATTTTTTTATAAGATAAATGTCATCTTTTAAAAAAATTTTGGTGACACCCAGCGGTGCTCAGGAGTTACTCCTGGCTCTGCACATAGGAATCACTCCTGACCGTATGGGATGCTGCAGATCGAACCGAAGTCGGCTGCGTGCAAGGCAAGCGCCCTCCCTGCAGTACTCTGGCTCCCTCCCGTAGAAGTGTCATCCTTTTGTATGTGTCTACTAATGCCTATTCTTAGTTTGTATTGATTTGGGGGGTTGCCACCAGTGATTCTTGGGCCAGGAGGGCCCCGGTTCAATGGCAGGGCTCACAGATAGGGGGCAGGGTGAGCTGTGGTGCTGTGGCTCCAGAGGCTGCCTGGGCCACCCCGGTGGGGTCAGGGGGTCCAGCCAGGTTGGGAGCATGCTAGGCGCTCGCCAGAACCCACTATATCTTGGCTGTGTGTTGGCTTTTTTTTTCCCACGTATAATGTGAAAGGCAGTTACTCGTCTCATGCTATTGTTCAAAGGGCCTCTCTCCTCCTGAGCGTATTCACAGTGGGTCTGTGTTTTCTTTTGATGCTTCTGTTTGCAGTGCTGGGGCTCAAACCCAGGGCTCATGCAGGCCAGGGACTTGACCAGTGGGCCACCTCCCTGGCCCTCTCCTCAGGCTTTTTAAGGGTTTCTAGTTGACTCCTAGAACTCGGGTATGGGCTTCAGATGTGGCTTATTTGGCCACATGTGGAAGACAGCTCTTCCCCAGGGTGGGTGATGGGCGTATTCTGCACCCCGTGACCCCCCCTGCACACTCGCTCCTGCACCCGTGCCTGCTCCTCCGGACGCCATTCTCATCTGTTGCCTCTGCCTTTGTGTTTGTTGGGTAGTTGCTCTTTAAGGTTTTTTTTTTTTTCACACTTTCAACTTTTAGCAGGTTTCAGGGAAGTTTTTAAGAGTAGAAAAGAGGGGCTGGAGAGATAGTATAGCAGGTAGGGCGTTTGCCTTGCACACGGCCGACCTGGGTTCAATTCTCAGCATCCCATATGGTCCCCTGAGCACCGCCGGGAGTAACTCCTGAGTGCAGCGCCAGTAGTAACCCCTGTGCATTGCCAGGTATGACCCAAAAAGCAAAAAAAAAAAAAAAGTAGAAAAGAATAAAAATGCTTTCTTTTTTTTTTCGTAGTGCTGAACTCCAGACCCTCTTAATGAACCAGCTCACGGTGAAGGTGAGATTGAGGTTTCACTACCCTTTCCTCCTGTTGTTCCTGCGATGGGGGTGGGGGGGCAGGAGGAGGGGGCAGGGGCGAGTAGTGGCACTGCCCAGTTCTCCCTTTGCCTGGTGCAGCAGGTCACAGACTTTGGCCCCCAGCTGGCACTCAGTAATGGGGAGCGGTGCCAGGATAGAACTCAGGGCCGTTTGCATGCCAGACCCATGCCCTCCTCCCGAGCCACTGCCCTCGGCCCCACTGTTATGCACCATAAGAAGTGTCCATGTGGCATGTAGTACTCTAGCTGTATACTCAATGTCTTTCCTTTTTTGTTTTAAATAGGGCTTAAAAAAGCTTGGCCAGTCAATAGAGTCGTCATATTCCAGCATACAAAAATTGGTGATAAGCCACTTACAGAGGTATGATGTGATAACGTGTGTGTGTGTGTTGTGTGTGTGTGTGTGTGTGTGTGTTGTGTGTGTGTGTGTGTGTGTGATCCACTGGGCATTGTTCTTTTTTTCTGTAACTGCCTCCCTTATGTGGCCTTGGAGCTCTCTCTGGTTTCCGTTGTTGTGTTGCCATATGAGGGGGAGTTCTGGCGTACCCGAGATGGGAGGAGTCCCTGCTTCATGGACTCATTTCCCCCGGCCCCGTCTGAGGTTTCTCTCCCGGCTCGTAGCCTGCCAGTGTATTCGGAACCAGGAACATTCGCTGTTTGGAGCGCTGCCTTAAAGTGTGTTTGTGTGTCATTTTGTGTATTTTGGAGTCTAGAACCGGACAAGGTATTTGTGGGTGCCGATGGTCTCTGCCAGCGTTATGACTCTCCTGGGCCTTGAGTCTCCTGCTGCTTCTGGGTCGCTCCTCCGTGCAGCAGTTGGCGGGTGGGTGTTGGGTGTTAGGGTTTTTTTTTGTCCTTTTTTTGGTCAGCTGGTGGGGTTTGGAGCACATCTGGCTCTACACAGGACTCACTCCGGGCTCTGTGCTCAGGGCTTACTCTGAGTTTTGGACTCAGGGCTCACTCCTGGGTCTGTGCTTAGGGCTCACTCTCGGCTCTGTGCTCGGGGCTCACTCCGGGCTCTGTGCTCGGGGCTCACTCTGGGCTCTGTGCTCGGGGCTCACTCCGGGCTCTGTGCTCGGGGCTCACTCCGGGCTCTGTGCTCGGGGCTCACTCCGGGCTCTGGGCTCAGGGCTGACTCCAGGCTTGCTCAGGTGCCTCACATGTGGTGTCAGGGACTGAACCATGGTCAGCCACGTGCACAGCGAGCACCCTAGCACTGTACTATCTTTCTGGCCCTCTGATTTTGTTGCATTTGTGCTGGGCCCAAGCCCTCCTGTTCTCCCCACTTCCCTCTGGACCCCTGCAGTGCCCTTGGGCCGGGTCTCCCTGACTCCCCTGCCCAGGTGTGCTTTCTGCAGCAGAGCGGGGCCGGGCGCCCAAGCTTGGGTGTGTGTTGGTGCGATGCGCTCTGTGGCTCTCACCAGCAGCCTTGCCAAGCCAAGCCCAGGCCCCTGGGACACTGCTCAGCTCAGCCATCACTAACTCAGGGAAGCCCGTCCCTCCCTCCAGGACAGACCTAGCAAAGGAGTTCCCCTAAAGTCAGAACTGAAGTAACAAAATAAAAAGCAATGATTACTGAGTGACTGGAGTGATCGCACAGCCGTGCCAGGGCGTTTGCTAGGCCAGGCTGGGTCGTATCCGCGGCCTCCCATGTTGTCCCTCCCTTGCACCGCCAGGAGAGATTCCTGAGCGCAGAGCCAGGAGAAAGTCCTGAGCGTCACTGGGCATGGCCCCAAGACCAAGATTAGATGAATTACGGTGAAATGGGATGGGTAGAGTCCCTGGCTCTTAGGTGAGCAGCGGGACCATGGGACCAACCGTAAAATGCCAGGGCTCTGGGGGCGTGACCCATGCTCAGGCACCCAGCTCACTCGTCATGAGCATTGAATGACCCTATTCCGGTCCACAGAGACGATCAGAAGACACTTGTTTCCCTCAGATAATTCAAGGTGCCTTGAGGGTTTTGTTTCGGGAAATGCAGACGCGTCAGGCGTCTTGGCACAGGCGGCAGCACCAACTCCTCTCCGCTTTGCCTTCCCAGTGGCTCCGAGTCCCTGTTGTACCACTTGAGTGAACTGAAGGGAATGGCTTCGTGGAAGCAAAAGTACCAACCTCTGGGACTCGATGCTGCGGGAATTGAAGGTAGGAATCAGACTTCTCGGCGGGCGGCAAGAAGCACGCGTGGGCCTGATCTCTGTGTCTCTCCCTCCAGATGCGATTACCGCCGTGGGGTCCTTCATCCTTAAGGCAAACGAACTTCTCCAGTAAGTATCAGGCCACCCCAGACATGCGCCTCTGTCCTCAGCCAAGGCCCCGTGCTTTCCTTCCCACGCATTTCCTGTGCCTGAGTTTCCATTCGTGAGTGGTTGGTTGTTCAGTGAGCTGTACCACAGTCGCCTTTTCTCTGCGGGTGATGAGCCAGCCTAGGCACATGGCGGTTTCCCAGTGTTCTGTCCCCGGGCCTGCTCCGGGGGCAGCGATCTGGACGTGCGGCGCTGCTGCTCTTGTCCTCTCTGCCCTCGTTTCGTTTCCAAGACTCTCACATTTTTTCATTGGTTTTCAGAGGTCGTTCTTGTCGGCTGTCTTCCCTCCGTGCTCCTGGCTCGCATGGTCTCTGAGACTTGCATTTCTTCCTCCAGTCAGTTTGCAGAGGTCTTTTCATTTTGTTTTGGGGCCACACCTGGCGTGATGCTCTGGGGATGCTCCTGGCTCAGTGCTCAGGAATTACTCCTGGCAGTGCTCGGGGGACTGTATGGGATGAACCTTGGTCAGTCAGATGCGAGGCAAATGCCCTACCTGCTGTACGATCGCACCCACCCCTCGTCCTTGTCTGCTTTATTCTCCCTCAGTACTCTTGGCCCTGGTTTGCGTTGTCTTTACCACACGCAGACATTCTTCCCTTTCCCCAGGCGGGCTCACGAGCTGTGGGCTCCTCCTGAAGCTGTCCCTCCGTCCCCGCTGGGCCTCTGTGGCTGGCTCTCCACAGCCCAAGTCCCCCGCGGACCCTGTGCGGGACATCATCAGCATCTCCTGGGGTTCCAGTGGGACGTGGAAGGGGGGACCCACTGTGTCCCCGTGTGTCTTCTCTCCCCTTTGCCCCTACTTAGGAGATCCGCACTGAGCCGCCTAGTTAGAGGACTCAGAGGCATCGCGACCATTGCTCACAGAAGCTGTGCCCTTCCGAGGCTCGTTCCTTCCTGGGATTGAGGGCTGATTGTTTATCCTGCTAGGTTGGCCCGTCACAGTCATGCTGTAGATGTGGGCCTTTTTGTTCGTTGTGCTGGGAGGAAAATGCCATTTTAGCATGAACTCCTGTGTTGACTGTTGTGGTCATTTCTTTCTCTCCTTTCATCCTTGCTCCGTCACTTGCAAATTTTTCATCTTGTTCCTGAGGAAATTTCTTGACTTGATTACCCAGTACTATTTTATTCATGAACGTTTCATTAAACGTTTAATTAACGTTAATTGCATCCAGAACATTTAACATTTGGATTTTTGTTTGCTTGTTTATTAGTTTTGTTTTTGTTTTTGTTTGGGGCCACTTGCTGTTGCTCAAGGACTTAGTCGTGGCTCTGCGTCCAGGGGTCACTCCTAGCGGTGCTCAGGGAACTTTCTGGGGTGTTGGGATGCACTCTGCCCACTGTACTATTCCATCAACCATAAACCTTGTTCTTAAACATTGTTCTCAGTAACTGAGGGTAGAGTTGCGGGCAGACCTGTGAAGAAGTCTTACCTTCATTTGGTCGGTGAGATTGTGAGAAGTTGGGAGTGGTAAACCTCAGGAAGGAGGACTAGAGCCGGGAGAGGTGCCTATCAGGAGAGGATTTGGGCACAGTGTGGCCTCGTGAAGCCCCAGAGACTGTCATCCAGACGCGTTGAAGGTACTGGAATGGCCCAGGGTGAGACGGAAGCCTGAGGGGACTGCAGGGCCCGCGTGCTGAGGGGTCCCAGGTAGTCAGAGCTGCGGCCTGCACTGGGTGGTGATCCAGGCCTTGTCGGATGCCAGGACGGTGCGAGAGATGGTGGAGAGGGTCGCTGGGCGTTCTGAGTAGGAGGCAGGGACAGAAGCCACAGGAGAAAGGCTGATCGGCTTTGGGACCCGTTTGGAAATAGAAATAATGAAATTTTCTGTACAACTGTGTATTGATGATGTGTGTTGCGGGTAATTATGAGCTCCGGAAGCAAGGAGGCTTGGTGCTTCCTGAAGTGGGGAGATAGAGCTCAGGTGTAGAATAGGAAACATTAGGATACATGTTTTTTTGCTTCTTGTTTTTGCATGCCTCCATTTGGGTTTATCTGATTCTTTCTTTTTTTTTTTAATTTTTTTTTTTCTTTTGGGGTCACACCTGGTGATACACAGGGGTTGCCCCTGGCTCTGCACTCAGGAAGTACTCCTGGAGGTGCTCAGGGGACCATATAGAATGCTAGGAGTCGAACCCGGGTTGGCAGCGTGCAAGGCAAACGCCCTACCCGCTGTGCTATTGCTTCAGCCCCAGTCTGACAATTTCCTGTGATGCAAGTTATGCGGCACTGGCAGAAGACTCGGTAATGGGGGCCACATCCTTCCCAAGCTGTGCCCATGGGGGAGGCAGGTGTTTCAAAGGAGAGCAGGCCGGTCACTGTCCAGTACATAGTGGGATACGTGAAAATAACGGTTCGGCGAGGAGACTGGAACAGGAGTGTTGGGAGCCACCCCAGGGCGCTATTTCAAGGCGTGGGCCTCGGTGGGGTCTTAGGTGCCGAGTGGTGGGGAGAGATCTGAAGGTGGAGCCGTCAGCCTGCTGGAGGAAGCCAGGAGGCCGAGAAACTGACCAGGAGACTGACCTGGTGTGTGCGACTCACCGGCCCAGCCGAGTGAAGACAAGCGTTGCCAGACAAGCGATGCCACAAGGAGTGAGGGCTGCCAGGCGCGGCCGACTCAAGCTGAAGACCCAGACGAGATGATTTGAATATTGTTAGACCAGATCGTTGGGGGTGACCTTGACAAGAGCCAGCCCCCAGGGCAGGACGGGGGCTGGCTGCAGCACAGAGTGGGAGCAGAGGCAAAGGAAGCAGCTCGTGTGATCCTGAGTTCTTTCTGCCGGAAGGAGATTGGCCGGGCTTGGAAACAGATGCGGAGCTGTTACTTCCTTTGACGAAGGGAGAGATTAGGGCCTGCTTGTGTATTCTGGAGTCTAGCAAAGGGGAGCGAGCCCTGGGCAGTGCGAAGAGAGGCAGTGTTGCGAGTGCAGGAGTGGGAGGGGGCAGCCCGTGGGGGCCAGGGACTGGTGAGGAGACAGAGAGGAGGCTGAGCACCGGGCTTGGAGCTGTTCCCTTCGCCCCGCTTTTCTTATCTCCATGAGAGATCAAAAGCCCCCTGGCATCTACTGAAGGCGAGACGGGAGGTGGGTGGAGGGTCCAGATGGAAGGAAGAGCTACACCAGCTGCTGGGCACGGAGGTCTTGGGGGCAGTGGAGGCCGGCTGGGGTGCCACGCCTTACCCTGGCCGCTGTTCTCCAGACCAGCCCGTGTGGCTGTGAGCTGTTGTCCGAGGGGCTTGAGGGGCTTGGCGGGGCTGTGCTGGAGGGCATTTGCATTTACTCTCCGTGATGAGCCGAATACAGCAGAGGGCAGAGGGTATTCGGGGAAGCGAGGGCACCGCCGCGGTGTGGAGCCAGTCCAGATGAGGCTTGGCGGAGATGAGCCTCTGGGTTCTGGTTGGAGGTGGGTCTTGTCCGCCAGGTGATGGAGGCCAGGGAGCTGACCATTTGAAGGGGGATCTGAAAGGTTCTGGCCTTAATGACGGTTCTGGTGCCTGACTCGAAGTGGCAGTGTATTGTGGGAGACAGACTGGTTTTAGGTAGGTTTGGGGCCGTACCCCGTGGTGCTGGGGAGTTGTTCTTGGCTTGGTGCTCAGGGGTGCCGGGGGTCGCACCTGGAGCTCCTCCACACAGAGCGCCTGCTCCAGCCCTCCGGGCTGGGTGACCGGGTTCTTTCTGACCGGGGTGGTTGTGTGGAGCCCTGTTCTTACCTTGTGACTGTGATGTCATTATTTTTGGCTTTTCAGAAGTTTTGGCCATGGGGCTGGAGAGTATGCAGGGGTAGGGCGGGTCAGGCCCTGCGCCTTGCCTGCCTGAGGCTGAGCTGGGCTTGATGCCTGCCCTGCCTGTGGTCCCCTGAGCACCACCAGGAGGGGTCCCTGAGCGCAGAGCCAGGAGTGAGCCCTGAAATTACCCACTTCCCCCACTGCATACACACCCCCAGTCTTTGCTGTTCCTCGCATTTACCTTGCCGCTCCTTGCCAACTTCCTTCAGGAGCCTGTTCCTCGGCTGTTCCTTGCTGTCACTCCCAGGGCAGCTCGCGATTGGTTACAGACAGGGTGGCTGGACACCAGCTCACAGCCCTGCACCTGCTGGGGTCTGCCTCACCCCTGCCTCCCCACGCCCCTTTACAGAGCCTGCTTGGATTTCGCTTATGCCCCCGTGCATCTCTGTCTGCGGAGAGGAGTGTTCTGGCCCCTCAGTATTCAGTTTGTCCCTGTGTCCAGCAGCTCACATTTTGTCCCAGTGTCTCTGGTGCCCTGGCATTGCCGTGGCACGCGTGTCCCTGCCTCTGGGGGGCCGCAGGCTCTCAGATACCGTTGCTGTGCTGTTGGAGACTCACCGCCACCGAGTTCCTCCCTGGGCTCCAGCCGTGGCTGGGGCTCATGTTGGATGACCCCGGTGTCTTTTCTGCTGCCCTCTTTGTTGGTGCGGGTTCCTGAGCAGACCCTGCCCGTCCATGCCCTCTAACGGCAGCATTGAAGTCAGTGGTGCAGGTGCCTGTGCTCTGAAGACCAAAGGAGTGGGGAAGAGCAGCGGGTCCCTTTGGCTTGCTCTCGTCACTTTGCAGGTGAATGGAACAAGAGTTGTCGTGTACTGATCTTCTTGCTCCTCAGAGACAGGTAGACGGTGGCTTTTTTTTTTTTTTTTTTTTTTGCTTTTTGGGTCGCACCTGGCGATGCACAGGGGTTACTCCAGGCTCTGAACTCAGGAATCACCCCTGGTGGTGCTCAGGGGACCACATGGGATGCTGGGAATTGAACCTGGGTTGGCGGCATGCAAGGCAAATGCCCTACCCACTGTGCTATTGCTCCAGCCCCGACGGTGACATTTTTATCTTAGATGACAGGTGAGAAACTGAGGCAGCGTGACGGCAGCGTGCAGCAGATCGGCGGGTATAGGGGTGGGGAACAGGTGCCGGCTTGGGATAAGGCAACAGAGTTTTTGTTCTTTCCTGGTTTTGCCATGTGAGTTTTGACGCTGCTGCCAGGCAGCACCTGCACTTCAGTGTTGCTGCTTTTGCCAGGGCTTTGTGCCCCGAGGGTGATGACCCTGACCTACCTCCCAGGGCCTGGTGCTTGCTTCCTACCTGCAAGGGCCCTGAGGTTTAGGCATGAAAATTACAAATTATACTCACTTAGAGTAATTCTCCCACAGAGCTAAGCTTGAAGAGTTTCATTTGAGTGTGACCAGCTCTTTATTGAGAAACATTCCAGTAAGATGAGAACTACTTCTGGGCATGGCGAGATCGTGCAGTGGGTTGGATGCTTGCCTTGCACGAGACCTGAACCCGAGTTTGATCCCTGGCATCCCAAATGGTCCCCCACGCCCGCAGGAATGGTCCCCAAGCACAGGGCCAAAAATGAGCCTGAGCCCAGCCAGGTGTGGCTCCCCTACCCCACCCAAAACCAAAACAGCCAAAATGAAAACTGCTTCCATTTCTAATAATTTCAGCGCAACGTTTATATCCAGCACGGGAAATTCAGTGTTTGCGTTCTTGGTTGCTATAAGCATCAGACATCACCTTCCAAAGTGAACGGCCCAGGCTCTCCAGGTAGTGACCTAGTACATATTTAAAAGAATCCTTTTCTGCTGGGCTCGATGTTTTCTTTTTACTGACCACTGAGGTTTTTTTTTTTTTTTTTTTTAACAGAAAAATGCTAAGAACTGCTTTTTCACTATTTTTCTTATTTGCAAAGGTAGAAAAGAATTTCATACTTTACTGAAGCCTTGGAGGAACTATTACACAGTTTGGGCAAGGCTGTTAGAACCAGATAGAATCTGAGTTCCTTGCTTTACTCTTTGAAAAGAACCAAGCCCTGCTTCGAGTTTTATTTTTAGGTATGTGTAAGAGGCTGTATAATCTGCTGTTTAAAAGACTTAACTCACATTCATGTTGGGTGAAATAGGACAGTGAAGGCTGTATTGTTTCACCCAGTTGAACAGCAAGGCATGAACTTCGTGTAATGATTTCATTTCTGAGTTTGTTTATTTATTTCTATCTTTCCAGAGTTATAGACAGTAGTATGAAAAACTTCAAGGCATTTTTTCGGTGGCTGTATGTGGGTAAGTTAATTGAATGAAGTGTCCTTCTTATTTTAATAGGCAGAAACTTGGGGAAGTATCAGCCTAGAGTCTGTTAGTTACTCTCAACTTTCAAATTCCTTTAAAAGCAGAGAAAATAGTCTAAATAAATCCCTGTCTGCCCGTGACACAGATTTGGCACCTGTCCCGTATCCTCGTCCCACTCCCACTGCTGCACCTGCCCCCACCAGACCCAGGGTGGGAGAGTCCCTGTCCGACAGTTCTTCTTGGTTGCCTTGCCCTGCCCGCGGTGGTTCCTGGGCCTGTGCTGGGTCCGGCCCTGCGAACTGGTCCACGGGTGGGGACCCGGTTCCGACCTGACCAACTTACCTGGTAGTGTGGGCTTTGGCTTTCTCTCTTCACGTCCACGCTGTCCAAGATGGTGTCTGTTAGCTGCGTGTGACTGTTCCAAAGAGCTGAAGTTCTGGGAAGTCATACACCCATTTCCCCCAAATTACGTACCCTGCCACACTGGTCCCTGAAGCCCTCCGGCTCTGCACGTCTCTGTCACATTGCATCATCTCACAATGATTCAATAAAAAAATTTTAAGAATAAATAAAAATAAAATTAGCCCCCCAGGATGCGTTTCCCTGCTGCATACGCAAGATAGAGTTCTTAATGTGAAAGCGTCCCTCAGGAAGACTCTAAATTTAGAGTAAAATCAGTGGCGCAGGATCCATAATGTGCTAATAAGATCCTTTAAACAGAGACCCGGATCTTCATTTCTGGTGCTTGAAAGTCAGATTCCATATTTGCCAGCCCCCCATCATGGCTTTTGATGTCAAAAATGTGTTCTGCCGATGCTGACATTTCAGTCTTAGGTTTTTCTCGGAACCCCACATACCAGCACTGGCCAGGATGAGGAGCCAGAGTCTTTACCAGGCCGGCCTATTCAATAGCCCAGGCTGATAATTAGAAGGAATCGCAATATTAAATGGAATGAGGTCTTAGGAATAATCTTCTTTTACAGAAGTTATTTGGTTTCACTTACAATTACTGGGGGTAATTTAGGCCATTTGTAGTCTCGCTGCTTATCCTCACTAATTAGGAAACATGTTTGGGAGGGAATGAGTTACTGCTCAGGCCCGCTGCTCTCGTTAGAACTGGCGGCTCATTCGCAATCCCGCTGTGGCTGCTCGCTGGCCGTCAGGCCACTAGTTAGCTGCCCTTTTGGAGACGGCCTCCCTGAAGCTAGGGGCTTCTCTGACGCTGCGTTATCCTTGGCACTTGTTGTTGTTGTTACACATGTGCTTACTCTAGGCTCTGTGCTCAGGGCACCGTCTTTGGTGCCGGGCTGAAACCAGGGCCAGCTGCCTGCAGGGCCAGCGCCCTCCCCTCTGTCTTCCCCCTGCATGCTCTCTCCAGCCTCCAGACACAGGTTTTGGATCATAAATGAACAAATGAGGGGACTCTGGCGTTGCCCGGGGATTGAGAAGTTAGATTAGAAATCTGCATCTGTAACAGCCTCTGAGACCATCTCCAATAGCACATCCTGCGTGTTTCGCCCGGCCAGATGCCTGGAGCCAGTGTGCCGGGCTTTAGCCGCCCTCCAGACGCACCCCACCGGGCCCAGGGACACGGCCACGCACGTTTGCGTGGGTCAGAGACGCCAAAGGGGAAAAAATAGGCATCGGCATTGGGAGGCTTTGGGAGTGTTGCGGGAGGACCCTGGCCACAGGGGAGAGGAGGAGTCAGATTCCTTGTCGGACGTTTGCTTTCCCGAGGAGGTCCCGCCCTCAGAGTCTGGGCACAAGCTGCCTTTCCCTCAGTGAGTCGGTCGGTCCGTCTCCGTTGGTAGCAGGCTGACGTGACAGGGAAATGGAAGACCGCAGTGCCGGGTGGCCAGCGTGGACACTTGGAACCCAGAAACGCAGATCGGGCTGCCATGCCCAACGCTGTCATTTCTGTGAGAGCCTGATTGGGGCTCTGTGGATGAGGAGCCGTTGGGAGCTGTTGGGAGCCGAAGGAAGGCGTCGGCCGGGGCTTCCGTGCAGCCCCTAGCGTTTTGTCTTTTGTTTTTAAATCTTATAGCATAGTTCACAGTATTGGATTACATTTAATATTCGAACACCAATCCCACCACTGTGACGCCTTCCCACCACCATATTTCGGATATTTCCGTCCTGAACCCCAGCCCCAAAGCAGAACCGAAATAATTTAATTTGCATTGTAATGGAAAACCACTGAAAATGCTACCAAAAAATTTCCTTAGAGGAAAGAGTGTGAAGATTGTTGTATTTCACCCAGGGGCCATTCGGCCCTTCTATAAGAGATCACTAGCATGTCGTTAAAGGTTGAACTTTATGTGCTTATACATATATATTTGTAAAAAAAAAAAATACTTCTCTCTAAGGCTGGTTGCCTCCCACTTTAAAAACCCCATCAAGTGTGGCATGGTACTCTCGGAGTATGGGTAGGGTGTGTGGTACGAAGTGTCACAAGGTCAAGGAATAGGTTCCTTCGTGGGTGATGCTCAGCCCGAGTGTGTGGAGGGGAGCTGTGAGCAGGACAGCGGTTGGGTTCTGGAGGTGTTTGGCTGCCGGGGCTGGGTCCCTTGAGGCAGGGAGGGGTCTTGCCCAACCCCCTCTGGGTTTTGATGGTGGTTTTCTTTTTTGTCTTTACGTTTCCTGCCAGCAATGCTGAGGATGACAGAAGACCACGTGCTTCCTGAGCTGAATAAGGTGAGTGCCTGCGTGTGGCCCTCGGCCTGCTGCTTGGAGTCTGTCTTGTCACTGTGCGACCAGATGTCAGAAGGAGGCACTGGATAGCTTGGGCACCTTTATCCCTAAAGAGACTTGCTTATTTTATGGGTTTATTTCTTAAATGCCTTTATTATGGCTAAATTTTTAGTTTTTGTGTGTGAGGAGGTTTCTAAATATTTTGTGTGTGTGTATGGGGGGTACTCTCAGCTGTTCTCAGGGGTTACTCCTGGCTCTGTGCTCAGGAGTTTCTCCTGGCAGTACCCTGGGGACCAAATGGGACACAGGGATTGAACCCAGGTCTGCTGCACCGGCCGTACCATTGCTCCCACCCCCACCATCCAGTGTTGGAGAAGACGCAAGGCTGTATCCATAGGTTTATATTCCTTTACGTTCTTCAGCATGAACATGCTTTTACGTGCCTTGGAGAGCTGGTCCCTGGCTATCTTGAGTCCTCATGCTGGCCCCTGATAGGCACCGCTGCTCTCGGGGCTTTGCCAGGAAGTCCTCAGAGAGTCAGGGGGGACACTCCCTCCCCTGGCCTCGCTCCCCTCACTTCTGGACAGACTTGAGCTGGGAAATCAATGCCTAGACATGGCTTCGGTGGGCGCCTGAGGTGCAGGGCTCAGGCCTTGCATGTAGCCAACTCCGGCTCTGTCCCGGGCGCTGCATATGGCCCCAGAGCACCACCAGGAGTAACCCCTGAGTGCCACTTTGTTTTTTTATGGGACCCCTCTCCTCAAAAGAACAAAAGTTGTGGGGGCTGATGGAAGGGGCCTGGAACCATCCATCAGGAAGGCCACTTTGCAGTGTTCCCAGGAATCAGACCCTTTGCTCTCAGGTAGCTGCTGGGCAGGTCAGGGATGCCCAGTTTAGCACTTTTCTCTGACATGGCTCTTAGTTTCATTGGGGGAGATACAAATACGTTTACTGGACGGGAGGGTTTCAGTGTCTGATTGTTGAGGGCTGAAGTCTGGTCACTGAGCAACACAGGCCAGCAGCTCAGCTGGCCAGATGTTGAGCCGCAGCCCCCGGTCCGGGCCCCTGCCCAGTTGGGACCCCTGGGCACTGGGCCTTGGCCTCCCAGCACCCAACCACCAAGCGTAGCCTCGGCAGAGCAGAACTGCAGCTGCGTAGTCACCAACCGGAAAAACGGGTTTAAAATGTTAACTGCGTGTTTAACAGAACCCTGGACATCGTATCATCACAGCGCATAATCTGGATTTCTGTTGATATTTCTGTGAAGGAACTTTCCCTGCTTTTCCCATGACTTTTAGCAAATGATAAAAAGGAGTCAAATTTACTATAGTATTTCTTTCACTGGGAAGTTTGTTTGTTTGTTTACTAATCTTGATTTCCTCCTTCCCCCTCCTCCCCCCTTTTCTTTGTTTTGATAGATGACTCAAAAAGATATCACATTTGTTGCTGAATTTCTTACTGAGCATTTCAATGAGGTAGGAAGCTGGTTATTTCTTCAGTGCCATGTTTATTAAAAACACTTTACAAAGTTGTTCACAAAACAGTTGTTTTGTTTTGGGTCCAGCGCCAGTCCCACCACCAGTGTGCCCTTCCTTTCACCACGTCCCGTTTCCCAGCGTCCCCAAGCCTGCTCCCTTCGCAGGCACTAATAACTCTCTGTTGCCTGTTACAGCGTAAGTGTCCTGGAGCGATGCTAAGGTCATGGCCTGAGGCTTTCCTGAGCACTTAGGTGCCACTTGGCCCTTCTGTGTTACTGTTTGCTCTCTCTGAGCTCACTGGGCCTCTTGCTTCCCCTGGGCTGTCAGCTCTGTGAGGTTAGAAATGAATGTTATGTGGCCACATGTGTGGCTGCACACCTCAGGGGGCTCTGGAGTGGAGTCCATCAGCTGCACGTGTCTCTCTGGCCCCTCCAAGGGCCAGTCCTGAGGCTGGGCTGTGTCTCTGGCCGCAGCAGGAGCTGGATATGGGTGGGCAGAACACTGGGCAGGGACATGGGCTGCCCCCCTCCCCCTCCTCTAGGATTCCAGAGATCTGGGCCTGGTGGCCTCTGAGCTTCTGGGGTAACTCGGCTGCTGGCATCTCTCCGAGGTCTTCAGTGCCATTTGAAAAAATGTAACTGCAGTAAACCTGGACAATGCTAAGAAATGATCAAATGTAATTCAGTTTAAAGTTCTCAGTAATTTTTTTGAACTATTGAAATAACTAAAGTCGGTACTTATGTATTAAACATAAAACCTGTGTATATGTTATATGACCCAGAAAATAACTGCCAGTATCGGCTCTTTGAATAAATTTAAGTCTGAATTTGAGAGTGTTTTGTGAGTTGACTTTACAAACGAAACTGTTTGTTTTTTTCCTAGGCTCCAGACCTCTATAATAGAAAAGGAAAGTACTTTAACGTTGAAAAAGTTGGTCAGGTAATGATTATGGGTTGAATTTAGTTACTGCTTTCTTGTTTTTAAAAGCAGTGCAAAAACTTTGGCAATGCTAATGCTTATTATCCACAGTTTATGAGAACTACTCCATTGCCACCTGATATAAGTAGTCCACCTCGTGCAGTGCAATGTCTGGAGAATAGTGGTTTTGAAACTTTTTGCTCTTTGAAAGAGGACATTTACATTCTGATTAATTATTGGGCAGCCTCAGACCACCTGCTTTGAGTGGGTTATGCATCGTTGCTTGGAGATGATATTAGGTATTACAGTTCAAAGAAGAATGGGGAATTATTAATTCACTTGGAAGTAGCAAATTCACCACAGCCTGTTATTATGAATACTTTTAATGAAGAATAATTGCAAAGAAAAAAAATCAGTGTCCTTATGTTGTGTTTTTGCACTGCTCTTGATGCTTGGCAGAAGTCAGGTTCTCCTGTTTGCTTCTGCATTCAGCTGGGTGGGTGTTTTAGTGTATAAGAGGCGAATTTGGCCTCTCCAGGAGTATTGGAAAAGAAGTATTCGGATTGCTTTTTCAGGTAACGATATTCTTTCAGACGATACCAGATCCTGACAAGAAGTAGCAGCGTCCAGGCTCCTGTCAGTGTAGAGTTTTCGATTATGTCAGTGTTCTTTTTGTACACTAGACAGCAGCGTTGGCCACTGTCTCAAGGTTTGGATCCTCGAGACCACATATTGGCCTCAGAGCACTGTCAGGGGTCCCTGCTAAGCAAAGAGCCAGAAATAGCCTCTGAGCACCTCTGACAAGTGGCTCAAACATCCCCTCCACTCCCCTCCCACCCACCACCCCAACACACACACTAAACCACCAAAATCACACTCGAGGCATCAAGAGTCAGGCATCTCTTCTGGTCTCTTTGGGTTTTGACCATGTGTCATTTGTCAGTACCGTGTGATGGTCACTGGGGCAGAGGCCAGTTCACTGATGACGTAGGTCTCCCGAATGCTGGCGCCTCTCCCCTCGCAGGACAAAGTCCTATTCATCAAGCTCCCTGACTGAAGTGAGGGAGACGCAGGAACGGGTGCTGGCTCCCTCCATTACTTGGAAGTGGAAGGTTCTTGTTCGGTATGATTTGGATGGTTATTTTCTTTGTGTCTGGGTATTTATTTTTATTCATTTCATATAGAAAAAAATAAGTGAGTGTCTCCTGACAAAGTCATTTACCAAATCATGCCTAATAGACTGTTTTGCTTTTGGATCCTGGGGGAAACCTGTACATTCCCCAGACCCCACACTTCCACTTGAGTGCTTAAATTTTATCATCGCCAGCGAGAGTTTTGATTGTTTTGCTCAGTGTAACAGACTTGCTTTATTTATTTTTAAGAAAATGCCTGCCAGAAATTCAACTATGAATAATCATCATTTGTCCGTCAGTCATTCTTTCAAGTGAAAATGGAATTTCATTAACAGTAATAATAATAAAATACCTGACTGCATTCCCAACGAAGGCAGTTTTCCAAATGCCTTCTCTTTCATGATGACCAGGATACTTTGATTTGCAGCAAAAGTGCTTCGTGTGTACTTCCAGTTCTGTCACACAGAATATTAAAGCGATCCGTACTCACAAGATGAGATGGAATGAAACTAGGCCTTTTAATAGCATCGCCCAAGATATGTGGCTATGGGGGAGAGAGGAAGACAGTGAGGACGGGCTCGGTTTGGGGCCACTGCCTTGGAATCGGCACCTTGGTTCTGGGGGCCGTTTCCCCAAAGATGTCCGTGGCCCCAGGAATCCCAGAGCATCTTACTCTGGTGCTCCGAGGATGCCTCTTAGGTCTATGGCCACAGACTAGATTGACAGTCACCTCTGCAGTCGAAGATGAAACTGTGCTTCACAAAAGCAGAGCACGGAATTCCACCCCCGGCTTTGCTTTGTGTCTTACCATATTCTGGTCATGCGCAGGAGAGCCGGGCTTTTTCAGTTGTTGTTGGGGAAACTCTGGTCCCCTCACTTAGAGTCACGGCAGCACTTTCAGCGTCGTAGCCGGCATGACAGACAGGGTTGAATCGCGCCTACTGGCTGCAGGCTTCTGTGGAGCCCTGATGATCTGACTGAATTGCCACCTCCCCTCCTGTATTCCTAGTACCTGAAGGACGAGGACGATGACCTCGTGTCCCCGCCGAACACGGAAGGCAACCAGTGGTACGACTTCCTCCAGAGCAGCAGCCACCTGAAAGGTAGCCCTGGAGATATTGCGAGTTGGTGGCTCCATGTGGTGCCCCGGCCAGCGCCCCTGCTCTGTGCCTGTCCTATGTATCAGCTCTCGTCTGTTCACTGGCTCTGTTGAAGAGGCAGCAGAGCAGCGCCCCGGGGGTGGCAGTGTGACCCCAAACCCTCCGGGGTGTCCCCAGTCCAGTGTGAGCTCATATGCTCTGTTTCGGTTGGCAGAGGCACAGGGCCTTGGGAAGGAAACTAGGGTGTCCTAGTGGCAAGCGGGCTTTGCCGATTCCAGGTATCAGCCCCTGAAGGCGTCCCCGTGCTGTACTGGGGCCTTGGTGGCTGAGAGGGGGATTGGAGGCAAGAGACAGAGTGGCAAGGGTCAGGAGCCCGGGGCAGGCCAGCTCTCTGCAGCTTCCATCCCGCAGAGCTGGGTCCCGGGATGCCGGGAGAGGGAGGCGAGCGGCGTTTAGGAGTGGGGCTGCTCCGGGCCTCCTGACTTTTCACCCTGCGGCTCCTGTCTCCCTGTAACGGGGGTAGATTGCACTTGCCTGGACAGAGATGGGAGATGGGGAACAAGCCCCGGCACGCCTGGTGCCGGCAAACACTCAGGACTCAAGTGCTTACTTGCACGGCACTTGTTTCTGGCCTCCTTTTTTTTTTTTTTTCTTTTTGGGTCACACCCGGCGATGCTCAGGGGTTACTCCTGGCTCATGCACTCAGGAATCACTCCTGGCGGCGCTCGGGGGACCATATGGGATGCTGGGAATCGAACCTGTGTTGACCATGTTGGCTACGTGCAAGGCAAACGCCCTACCCGCTGTGCTATCGCTGCAGCCCCCCTCCTGTCTTTTTTTCCCCTCTTAAATCTGACTCTTCCCTGAGAATCCTCCTGAACTGTCACTCACTGTGACAGAGAACAGAGAAGGCTATGAGGCCGGGAGCTTGGTGTCATTCGGTAGCGATGGGTGCTTAGTGTCAGCTGAAGCACACTGGGGCTCGGGCGGGGAGGGGGCGCAGAGTGGTGAGCCAGTCCTGAGCTCTTAACGGGTGCTGAGTTCAGAGGGAGCCCGGGCAAACCTGATCATCTGATGGGTTACAGCTTTCGTTTTTGCTTTTGTTTCTGTGTCTTTTGGAACCCAGAAAGCCCGTTGCTGTTTCCTTATTATCCGCGAAAGTCACTGCATTTTGTGAAGAGGAGGATGGAGAATATTATTGATCAGTGTTTACAAAAGCCTGCGGTAAGCTTGCAAGGGATGTGCCTTACATGCCGTCGTCAGATTATCGCGGTTTATAACTCAACTCTGTACGAAAATAAATCCCCTGAAAATGCTGAAACTCATCTCAGTTTGGCTAGCACAAATGCATTTCCAGGTGGCTTGCCCTGGGCCTGGAGAGCTTTACCCCCCAGCGTATCTGAGCACTGTCAGGTTTGGGACTCCAGAACAAAATGGATGAAAATATTTGTTTTACCCTAATAAGCTCCTCTTGGGTTGGAGCGATGGCATTGCAGGTAGGGCTTTTGCCTTGCATGCGGCCAACCCGGGTTCTATTACTCTGCTCCTCTCGGAGAGCCTGGCTAGCTACCGAGAGTATTCTGCCCGCATGGCAAAGCCTGCAAGCTACCCATGATATATTTGATATGCCAAAAACAGTAACAGCAAGTCTCAGAATGGAGACGTTACTGCTACCTGCTTGAGAAGATTGATGAACAACAGGACAGTGCAGTGCTACCTATATAAGTTTCTTTCTTACTGTAAGTTTCTTGGTTTTTTTGTTTTGCTTTGTTTGGTGCCATACCTGACGGTTCTCAGGGCTTCCTCCTGGCCCTGTGCTCAGGGATCACTCCTGACGGGGCTCAGGCATCATACGGGTTGCGAGGCCAGCGGCCCACCCACTGTCCTATCACTCCAGCCCCCTTACTGTTAAGTTTCTTATCACATAAATCAAAAATGTGAGGTAAGACTATTGAAAGTGTGGGCATCATTAGTATTGCTCACTTGCAGAACAAACTTGTTACCTAAGAAACGTTGGTTATGGATCTGTTATTCTCTGTAATCACTGTGGAGGGGAGACGGTTGATGATGAAACTGCAGTCGGGGTCCTTAACCTGCCATGAGCATATTCAGAGGGTTTTGGGGGGCCGGGAGGGGTTGGAACCACACCCAGCAGTGCTCAGGGATCACTCCTGGTATTGTTCAGGGGACCATCTGCAGTGCCCGTGATTTGAAACTGTTGGCCATTTGCAAAGCATGAGTTTATTGCCAAGGTCTTTTTAGCTCAGAATTTTCACTCCTTTACTGTTAGGATTGCCATTAAGTTTCTGGTGTTAGTGGTTTGGTGATGTGGATAATTTTCGAACCTGACATTCATTTTCTGTGCAGTATTCCATCTGCATGTAAATACTCTATTATATTTTTAAATCTTGTTTTATTTAGGATGTAATTGGGAAATCGATGAACCAAGCAATCTGTATTCCATTATATAGAGACGCTCGAAGGTAATTCTGTTTACTTTTTGGGTGGTAGAATTCAGCAGACAATTTCAGTTGCTCTTATTCATTGTTCCCTTTTATTTTAGTGAGGACTCGACCCGGAGGTTGTTTAAATTTCCTTTTCTGTAAGTGTGTTTCTCCCTGTCTCCTGCGAATAGTACGATTTTGTTCCTTGAAAGTGGGGAAGTGTCATGTGTTGACATTGAATTTTATTTCCTTAGGTGGAATAACAAAACTTCAAATCTTCATTATCTCCTTTTTACCATTTTAGAAGACTCACTGTATAAAATGTGCATCTTAAGGAGACACACCGACATTTCCCAGTAAGCATTCATCTACAGTTTGAATTAGAGTTAGACTTTATTATTTCAGTCGTAAAAAGTGATAGCATCTTTTCCTCTACATTTCAAATTTTAATTAACACTGCTGCATACTCTCAGGCTAGTTTTACTTAACTCTTTGTAGTCCTAGTTTTCACATCGTTAAGATCATGCCAAATCAGGAGGTTCTGTGCCCTTCCAGTTCTGTGTGATTTGATTTGGGCCTGGGTTAGAGTGATCACATTTAGTAGTAAGGAAAAAAAATAACAGCAGCAGAAACTCAGGAATTCATTTCATGAACCGAGCTTCAGCAGTGTTTGTGATTCCGTATGGAAAGAAGCTTTCCCTCCAGTTATTTGTGCCTTTATCAAACAGGAGAGCTTGTCTCTGGAGACTTTTGAGAGTTCAGAGTCAATGTTGTGAAATCACATTCCAACTGCTCCTAGTCCCTCATTTTAAATCTGAAATGAAAAGACAGCTACTTGGGTCCAAAGAGAATGCTGTTTGTTCCAAAGGTCCCTAGTTTTATGGAGTACATACTTGGTGGCAGCAAGACTTCAAGCCAAGTTGTAATTTTGACGGTGAGGTCTTTCCCGAAGTTGTCATCAGTATTCTCGAGTGAGCATCATGATCGTTTGGTCTGGGGCTTGGTGTTTAGGACGATGTGCAGGAACTAATAATCATGTTCTTCCGAACATGTAGATTATTGCTACCCAGCTTGTTCCACAGTCTCTTCCCCACCCCCTCCCTTCTTCCAGATCTGTAGATAATGGACTAGTCGCTGTAAAATTTGGGAGCTTCACGTACGCCACCACTGAAAAAGTGAGAAGAAGGTAATTCTTGCGCCTCGTTGGGGTGAGAAGTGCGCGTGCGTGATGAATGTGTGTGTTAGATCCGGTCTCAGTGATGGGCCTAGAAGGCACAGAGGGGACAGAACCACGTCCACAGAGGTTACCAGGAGGATGGTTCACCTTTCTGTTGAATCAGGAGTTTGGTGGAGCATGGTTTCTTAGAACTGCAATTTCGGAGCTTCCTGTCTGTCAGGAAACTCAGCGGTTTTAGGGGGCAAGTGGCTGAGAGTCCAGGGACAAACCGTAGTTCGAAGTGCTGTTAGTCTCACATCTGTGGGCTCCTCTCGGCGGGCAGAGGGTAGCAGCAGTTCCCGAGCTCTGGCTGGGGCTCCCCACGGGGAGGGCATGGATCCTAGCCCTCGGCCCATCTTCTCGCTCTTTCCCTGGGAGAATTCTTTCCTCGTCACGTCTCTGACCCTGCTGTGGGTTTTCCCTTCCTGGGCAAGTCTCTTTACATTACAGCCCCGTTAGCATGACTTGCTCACTGTGTCCATCATTGAAGCATCTCCGCAGATCGAAAGCCAGGCTGGCGGCGTCGAGCTCTGTGGCACTGAGCGGGTCTCACAGGCTTCCTTGTCTTCATGACTGCCCGCTGAAAGGCCTGGCTCTGGGGAGCGGCCAGTGTAGTCGGGAACTGCTGTCAGACCCACCAGTGACCCGTTCTTAGTGTTGCTGCGCAGGCTGCCGTGAATGTGTGTCGGGTTTAAGTCCGGTTGTGTGCTCATCCTGGCAGTGTGTGCGGCCTGCAGCGTTTGCCCAGCCACCATCGTCACCATCCTCTCTGTGCATTTCACTGCAGCACCTACAGTTGTTTGGACGCCCAGTTTTACGATGATGAAACTGTGACCGTGGTTCTGAAAGACACTGCAGGGCGTGAAGGACGGGACCGGCTCCTGGTCCAGCTGCCCCTGTCTCTGGTGTATAAGGGCGAGGACGCTGCGGAGGGCCAGTTCACGGGGACGTACTCCAGCAGGTGACCGGCCGACAGGAGGGGACCCTCTTCCTGACCTGCCCTGGGTGGCTTCAGTGCGCCTCCCGCGCCTGCTGCTTCATGGAGATCTAGTTACTGAGGAGAATTGTCAAGTTAACTGAGTGGAAACGCTCCTATTTTTTAATTTAAAATTTCTAGCTCCCTGTAACCAAAAGAAAGAAAAAACAACGGGGGAGCCAGAGTGATAGTACAGAGGATAGGGTGCTTGCTTTGCAAGATTTGAGCCCAGCATTTCATATGGTCCCCCAAAACACTTCCAGGAGTAACCCCTGAGCATTACCGGGTATGGTCCCAACACCCCCCTTCCCCAATTTTTTTTTTTTATGCTAGCTTCAGGAGCTCTTTCGATCCCTTTGCTTTACTCATTAATTCAAGAAGTATTTGTTGGAGCAGGGAGGGGGTTATTTACATCAACGGGTGAAGCTTTTAATCTGTCTTTCGAGTAGCATCAACCTCAGTTTGTAGTGGAACAAATTTTTGTTTGTTCGGGCGCCACACCCAGCAGTGCTCAGGACTTACTCCTGCCTCTGGAGGTGCTTGGGGAGCCCCATGACGTACTGGGGGTCGAACCTGGGCAAGCGCCGTACCCACTGGGCCGTCGCTCCAGCCCCAGTAGTAGAACTAGTATGAATTTAGATTTGCCTTCCAGAGTTAGGCTCTCAGTAACCTCATGAGTGAGCAGCCTGTCCTAAGAGAGGGCTTTAGTTGACTGAGATTTGAATAAACAGACTCCTTCTATAATTCCTATGCCCACTGGCTCCTTTTGAAAGAGAATTTTAAATACACACACACACACACACACACACACACACACACACACAACATTCGGTCTACTTGGAATCATAGAATACCTTTCTGTTGTTTCTGTCGTTTTTGTACAGAAGCTCACGAGTGTTGCCAGTGGGAGTAATGGTAGACTTTCTCCCTGTGGCTGTCCCTGGTTCCGCCCGGGCTGGCTTCTCCCCTCTCCAGGCTGGATGAGCAGTACAGTGCCATTCCCATGAGGACCCTGCACTTCGAGAAGCACTGGCGTCTGCTGGAGAGTATGAAGGCACAGTACGTGGCGGGAAATGGTTTCCGGAAGGTGTCCTGTGTGGTGAGTGTTTACGAGGCTCCAGCCAGAATAGGCGCCTTAGGAACTTAGGGTCAGTAGGCGCTTAGCCACTTTGATGTACTATCATCATCATCATCATCATCATCATCATCATCATCATCAACTAGTGGCCTTCGCAATTCAGTTCTCTAGTCTGAATTGGGCTGAAATGGGCTGGAGCAATAGCACAGCGGTAGGGCATTTGCCTTGTGCGCAGCCAGCCCTGCCGAGCCAGGTTCAGTTCCTCCGCCCCTCTATGCCAAACACAGTAACAACAAGTCTCACAATGGAGACGTTACTGGGCCCGCTCGAGCAAATCGATGAACAACAGGAGGACCATGACAGTGACAGTCCCGAGAAAGCTTCTTGCTAGTCTGCATTTTATTTTTTAACTTTTTAAAAAAATTTTTATTAGTGAAACACCATGAGGTACAGTTGTAGACTTACAAATTTTTGTGCTTGGGTTTCAGTTACACAATGATCAAACACCCATCCCTCCACCAGTGTCGATTTTCCACCATCACGGGTCCCAGCATCCCTCCCACCCCCCATCCCCTCCAACCCACCCCGCCTCTGTGGCAGGGCATTCCCTTTTGTTCTCTCTCTCCTTTTGGGTGCTGTGGTTTGCAAAAGAGGCTTTGAGTGGCAATCATTGAATCACTGTGAGATAGACCCTTACAAAGCTGTTCGTGATTCGGTTTCAGTCATACAGTATTCTAACACCCATCCCTCCACCAGAGTACATTTCCCACCACCAGTTACCCCATCGCATCACTCCCTGCCTGCCTCTATGGCAGGTGCTTTCTCTCTCTCTCTCTCTCTCTCTCTCTCTCTCTTCTCTTCTCTCTTTCTCTCTCTCTTCTCTCTCTTTCTCTCTCTCTCTCTCTCTCTCCCCCCTCCCTCCCTTGCTCTTTCTCCCTCCCTCCCTCCCTTCCTCCCCTCTCTCTCCCTTCCTTCCTCCACCCCCCCCCCCGAGCATTTTAATGGTCACAGTTGTCTGTGAAGATCTCTTATGTAGGCTGAGTTGGAAGACTTTTTTTGAAGTGACTGGGGATTGAGGTCGCTTTCCCGAAGATCTCGTGCAGGCGGATATCTCTGCCACCTTCTCTGTCCCAGGAGGCCACGCCCTCTGCTAACCCCTGCCCTGGCCTTTTCCTCTAGTTAAGTTCCAATCTGCGTCACGTGAGAGTGTTTGAAATGGACATTGACGACGAGTGGGAGCTGGATGAGTCCTCGGATGACGAGGAGGAGGCCGGGGGTAAGCCAGGGAAGATCACAGATGCGGTGGTGTCCGAGTCGGAGCCTGAGAGCCAGCCCGCGGGGGCTGACGCCCCAGCTCCAGAAACCGTCAGTGAAGCAGAGAAACTGGACCCCGAGCAGGACTCCTGATGCGCTCGCCACCCCGGCCGCCAGGACGGCAGGGCCACTTGGTTTCCGGGTGACGTTTGATGGTCTTGGCATCAGGAGGAAATAAACAGAACCTTGTCTCTTTTTCCTTACTCTGCTTCGCCTTTTAGTGTCGTAGTCACTTAGACACCTTCATTGCCGAGATCGCCACACTCTGCCCTGTGTGTCAAGAAAACAGAGACAGAGTGTGAAGAAGGAGGTTTCCTTCTCCTACCCAGAGGCTGCGGTGTGGAAACCGTCCCTTTACAGGAAGCATCAGGGTTAGGTCGTGTGGAGGCTTTGTTTTGGAGGCTCTGGGGACCACAGCCGGCAATGTTGAGGGGCCCAGGACCTCACACCCAGGGTTTGAAGCTGGTTGGCTGCATGCAAGGCAAGTGCCCAAAAGCCTTAGATTTCCTCTGGCTCCCATCATGGAATTTTGATGCCTTCAGTGTCTCAAAGACAAGAGAGAACTGATCCTTTCTTTTCTGACTCCCCTTCTAGCTCATTCCAGGTTCCCAGAGTGCTTTCCAAGTCAATGTCAGGATAAAGTAGACCGAGGGACCATAATCCCGAACAAGCCAGACAACGGACACTGTATCAGCAGAAGCTCCGCTGCCCCCAGCGGGATTCTTGATTCTCCCTGTGTTCTGTGTGTCTGTCTCTGGGATCTTGGGATCCTCTGTGCTTCACAGGCTCTTTTTCCCACCCTGGGAAACGGGGACCAGGTCAGTAGGTTGTGGCAGGTTTCCCAGTGCTGGTTCCTGGGCAGTGTTCAAGGTACCTGGGACCTGCAGGCAGTTTCTGCTTCACACGCGAATCCTACTGGATTCAGTGAATCTGTGTGAAGCTTTAAATGTCTCCAGGCAGAAAGTACCCTGTGCCCAGGTGAGTGTCCCCAGGTACGGGGCTGGGGACACCTTTTCTCTTTGTCCAGTGTGTGCTCTTCCTCTTGGACTCTGGGTGCATCACCCTGGAGGGGCTTTGGGTGCTGTCTTTGTTCTGAGCTTTCGCCCCCTTTAAAGGGGAAGCTGCTGAGAAGCCGCTGTGACCTGTGAGCCTGGAGTTTAGAACTGTGGCCCCTGCCTGCCACCACCGGGTGCTGCACCCCCCCAGGCTGCAGCCTTGAGCTAACCAGGCCTTAATAACATGACTTTGTTACAAGCTTGCAGTGATGGGTGGCATGAGGTGGTGCAGGATGTCTTGACTCAGCTCTGAGAGCAGGAGAGATGAGCGGTCACGTTCCAGAGGGGAGATGCGTGGTGGGCCAGTCTTTCCCCTGATATGCCTGCAGGGCGAACGAAGGTGCCGCACGAACTTACTGTAGATCATATAAATAAGTTGCCTGCATCTTAGGGACAAATAATTTAAGCTTTGCTGTTAGGAGACTGGAGAGATAATACAGTGGGTAGGGTTCTGGTTTTGCTGATCTGGGTTCAATCCCCAGCATCCCATTTGGTCCCCTGAGCACTTCGAGGAGTGATTCCTGAGGGCAGAGTCAGGAATAAGCCCTGAGCACAGCTAGGGGTGGCCTAAAACCAAAAAGGAAAAAAGAAAACATGAGTTAAGAGTTAAGAGACCACTCAGCAATCAGTTCCACGTTAGACAGTTCTCTGTCTCTCGTGACTTCTGTGAATTTATAAACACTTTCTAGCACATGCTTATTTGCTTCCTCAAGGGTGAGTGGATACTCAGACTCCCAGATGTGGCTCTTACCCTGAATCAGGATCTGAAATGGTCCCATGGACGCCCAAACTGTCCCTGAACACTCGGGTCAGATATGGGCGGGCTCTTCCCAGTTGCAGGGGACTGTTTATAATTAGTGCTTTTAATGTAAAGGGCCTACTGAGGAACTGGGCTTGTACTAGGGCCCAGTGAACACGCTCACATCGATAGGAGACTCTTTAAGTTTTACTACAGAGAGGCATAATGTCCAGGTTTCTAGACATACACTATAATCCTAGTTTGAAACTACTTTCAAGATCAGCCAATTTGACACCCTCAACTTTATTCCTAGCATTTCTAGCAGAAGGTGCCGAATCTCAGTTTTGGATTTGATGGCCTAGAAGGGCACCATGGGGATGGAATTGGTGGGCACTAACTTCTGCCAGGTCACTGAGCACATGGAGAATCAGACCCTCCTGTTGACTCAGTGGGAGAACTGAAGGCCTCTGTCTTGGGGTCAGTGAATTAAGGGAGATGGTCACAGACCCTATGCCGGCACTGAAGAAACATCGAAGAAAAATTTGTATAGGGGTGGAGGCCTCCTACGCAGTGCTAAGGGGACCCAGGTGCCCCACCTCCCTCCCCGTGACACTCGTTCAACTGGACCTCACAATTCAGTGCTGAGGGCCAGCAGTGCTGCTGGACACCTGGGCCATCTGGACGGCACCTGGTGGTTCTCTGGGACACGGAGCCTGGGATTGAAGTTGGGGCCTTGTGCATGCAGCAAGTGTACTCCTGGCTACATCCCAGCACGCTTCTTGGTACGTTATTCTGTGCTGCTCTTTCCACGGGTAAATTGTGTCAGGTTTTTGGAAGTTGAAATCACTTGGGAATTTTTGAGGGAAGGGGTTTAAAATTAATAGGTGATGACAACAGTTTAATTCTCTGGCTATAGTGCCCCCCCCCCCCATTTCCCAAAGTAAGTTCATATTTAGCAAAATGCTGCAATCTCGTCCCTTTTTAGAGTGTTTGGATATACATGTGCACAGGACTGAGGGTCTAGCCTTGAGGTTTCTACAGGGAATCTCTCAATACCCGGGCTCCCCTCCGCACTCTCCTTTTACTCAGGAAGCCTCGCAAGCAGATGTGCGCTAAATGCTTATTTCTAGATGGTCTCACTGTAGCCGTGGATTGTTCTGTCTCACCAGTGATCTTGGAGACCTCAAGGTCATCTGCATCACTCAGTCAAATTCATGGAGTTGTTGGAGACCGTGAGAGCAGGAAGTACATCAAAGCAGGAAGGAGCACTGAACTCATGAGGAAAACTCTCCCATGCAGGCCTCGGGGGCTGCAGAACTCGCTTCCCGGGAGCCCAGGCTCAGTACCCCCCCGCCCCGCCCCAGCACCGCCTCTGGGTGTCACCCCCAAACAAAACCATTTTCCACCATTAAAGGGCAGTAAGCTCTTCATATGGTGGATAATTGATTTTTCACATCCTAGGAAACTTCAGAATTGCCAGGCTTGATGATAAAAATTGCTATTTTATGGGGTCACTGAAATGCCATTCAATCAGAAATGTGGAGGGTCCTGGGCCGCATTCTCGGCACGTTCGCCTGATTTCATACCCACGGGTTGAGTACCATTATTTTCAATGGAAACTTTTTTTCTTACTCATTAGACATTTGTCATTTTTCAGTTGTTTGGTAAAAAGCTGCTCCCTGAGGTGTACTGAAAGTTAATGTATTTCCTTCTCTAAAAATGACCTTAGCAGGGGGACCGGTCAAGAGTTGGAAGCCTGCCACCAGTGTGGAGAGCAGAGGACAGTTAGGATAGAGAAGGGACCACTATGACAATAATAGCTGGAAACGATCACCCTGGATTAGAACTGAGTGCTGAGAGTCGGTAAAGGGATATGTATGATAACATTTCAGTGCCTGTATTGCAAAGCAGTGCCCAGAAGGGGAGGAGGGAGAAGGGGGTGCAGGAGAGAGAGAGAGGAGGGGAGGGTAGAGATTCAGTGATTCAATTAAAAAAAATAAAATGATCTTGGGGTCGGAGCAATAGTGCAGCGGATAGAGTGTTGACCTTGCATGCAGCTGACCTGTGTACAATCCCCATCACCCCATATGGTCTCCGGAGCCCCACCACTAGGAGTGGTTCCCGAGTGCAGAGCCAGGAGTAAGCCTGGCGCATCGCCTGGTGTGGCCCAAACCCACCCACCCCCTACAAAGAAAGACCCTCACTGGTCTTTAATGTCACTCTTTTTTGTTTATTATAATCAGTGTTTAAATTGGAGTGTGATTAACAGTGAGGCTTGTTGAAGCGTAGCTGGGTGGGACTACCCCAGCCTTCTCTAGACACCTCAGCATATAGAAGTGATTGGGCCTTCCTGAGGGTAGGTAGGGGCACGGTTTAGCAGGAGGGAAACTTCCAGACACAGAAGGCTCTGTCTGAGCACCACAAGGAACAGGCTGAAATACGCACTCGGAACACAGCCAAGCCCGCGACTCATGGGCCAGGAGCTGAGATAAAGCAGACCAGAAAGTAACAGTCACCTCGCGTCTTTACAGCACACAGCTGAGAGTGACACTGGCCAGTGTCCTGCTGCTGCGGCCAGGACTCAGCCAGGTCCTGATGGGATGAGATGCCTGGGAGGGGCAGGACGGGGCTCCAGGCCTCTTCCATATGGGAAGTGGGCGTGGACGGGGCCAGTGCTCGTCATCCCTCCCTCCCGCTCAGTGGGTGCCCTGGGAACTGCACTCAGGGCAGGTTCATTTACAACTCCCCTGGCTCAGGCTGGCCAGGGCGCCCCAGACACGACCATCTCCTGACTGCCGGGAGCCCCCGGCCAGAGAGGCTCCACGTGGACACTCTGAAGGCCCACGGTGAGTGCCAGAGAACACACAGAAGGGCGAGAAAACCAAGAATGGTGTTTTACGGGGTGAAGCAACAGGTCAGAGCGGAGGCTGTCAGAGGCCAGGGGGCCGCTGTGAATCGGGTTTTGCTTAGAAAAAGAAAGAATTGCTTTTCTGGAAAGGAGCTATCGTACAGTGGGTAGGGCATTTGCCTTGCGTGCAGCCAACCCTGGTTCGATCCCCTGCATCCGAATTTGGTCTCCAAGCACTGCCAGGAGTAATTCCTGAGTGCAGAGCCAAGAGTAACCCTGAAAAGTAGTATGGCCCAAGAAAAAAAAAAGGAATTGTATTTCTACCTCTTTAATCAGCCGCTTTTGCAAAGCTTCTCTTTTCAAAGCTTTTTTCCAAAGCACCCCTCCACAGCCCCTCCTCAGCCCCAGGCTAGCCATCTAGCCATTGGCTCTGCCCACAGCAGGTGTTTAACGGCGCTCTGACCGCTGCCCCTGAGAATGGAATTGTTAGGAAGGCTGGAGAGACACAGGTTAGGTGACTTGCCCAAGGTCACACTGTTCAAGGCCTTC